TGTCAATGGGATGGTTTCATCTTTTTCTGGCGTAAGTACTCCAAAAATGATGTTCAAAATTTTGTTGACAAATATTGTCCCTCATCTAAATTGATACTATTTTGTTGAGGGGCACATTTATGGTACTCTATTTTAAGTGCCTCACAAACTTTCCTATCAAACATTTTAGCATCTACTTTTAGAGTTCTGCAACTGTCCCAGTTAATTTGTTGTTAACAAAGCTTTTTAGTATCTTAGATGAAACTATGCCATTGACAAAAAATAGAACTGCTATTTTAAAAATAAGATATAAACAAAAACAATAATCCAGAAAAAATTTATTAAAAAAAATAAATTTAGTGTCGAGAGAAATTTGTGTTTATTGATATTTATAAAATAATGATTTACATACTCTCATACACAATGTCTACATTCAAAATTGTCTGCTGCCACCCCCTAAATGTATTCTATGTAATAAGTTAATTCTAAATTAAAAATATTTTTGAATAAAAAAAATTTTTAGGGGTCGCTCAAGACGCTTAAACATCAGACAGGTCCCTGATATTTTGAAAAAAAAGTTTTTCAAAGCATATCATGTTGGGTCTCAAAAGAAATGAAATTTGATAAAAATTTTAAAAATAATAATAATTTGTATAAAGATTACTAATTAAAATTTTTTGGCTTGAAAACTATAATTTTTTTAACAAAAAATAAGTTCATAGTTTTTTTAAATAAATTTTTTAAATTTGTGTTTGCATAATTTTTTTTTACTATTTTTGAAATTTTTATAAAATTTTACTTCTTTTTAGACCCAACATGATATGCTTTTAAACAACTTTTTTTTTCAAAAAATTCTTAATTTTTCAAAAAATTTTTCAAAAATTCTTAATTTTTCAGGGTCCCGTCTGATGTTTAAGGGTCTTGAGAAACTCTTAAAATTTTTTTCATTTAAAAATTTTCTAAATTTAGAATTAATTTGTTACATAGAACACATTTAGGGGCTGGGAGCAGACAATTTCAAAAAAAGTTGTTTTTAGAATCATTCCTTCATAAGTGATTGTAAAAATGTTGCATCAATTTTTTTCAAACTGGTATTGATACACCCAATCAATTGTTGTGAACTTTTGGCCTCCCATCCACCCTCATACACATTCTGAGCCAATATTCCCCAAAAGTCTTCTATTGGCCTGGCTTTGGGGACATTAAAAGGGTTCATATTGGTAGGCACGATCATCCATCCAGGAAATGGCCTCTTTAGACCTATGAGCACTAGCTAAATTGGCCAAAAAATTGTAATTTAGGTCTTGATGATACTTATTGACGAATGGTATAAGTCGTTTCTCTAAGCATTCTTTGATATAAATGCTTGATTTTAAAAGCCGATGTTGTTGGCGGCAAGAGTGGTTTCGACATTCTGCGCTCAGATAGTGCTATCCAAATAAGAATTTAGTTTCGGAAATTTTTCTTTTCCGCAAAGCCAACATTATCTGGACATTTGTCTTTGTTGTCTGTATAATATCCGGCGTTTCCAGGCATTTTATCGCCGCCGAAACAAAAGTATTTTTTGTCGTCTAAAATTAAAATACTCTGTTCTTTATAGAGGTGATTTATGCGTTTTTGGCTTCTGTTTTGTGCCCTTAGACGCTGTCCATCATTATATCGGAGTGTTTTTTCATGTTTACGGTATTTAATGTTTATTTTGGTCAATTGTGTACATATTGTTTTTTGATCAATGTTGAATATACATGCGAGTTTTGTTTGACTTACACCTTTTCAATTGTTGGTCAACCTGCGAAGTTTTGCTTTTTTTTCTTGAGTCCACGATGATGGCCATCCAGAATTTTTGTAACTTTTAAACGCTTTCCTTTAAGGTGTCAATTGATATAATTAAATGCTGTTTTGCGACAGATTCCTTCTTTAAAAAAATGGTTAGCAGCTTCAGCTTTGGTAGCTTTTGGATTTTTTACAAAATAATTTTTGACATTATTTTGAAGAACTGCTCTTTGCCTTTTAACATTTTTTTTGAACATTTTTTTTTTAAATAAAACTAGAATATTTTATAATACAAATTACATTCGAATGCCAAAATATAGTATTATAGATTCCAAGCAAAACTAAGTTAACTTTTGTGTAACTAATTTCTCCTCACTTGTTATATATTAATATAGATATAGATATAGATATAGATATAGGTATAGATGTAGATATATATATATATATATATATATATATATATATATATATATATATATATATATATATATATATATATATATATATATATATATATATGTATATAGATGTATAGATGTAGATATAGATGTAGATATAGATGTAGATATAGATGTAGATATATATATATATATAATGTGCTACATAAAATAGCATTAGTATATTTTTTTAAAAAATCAATAAATTAAACAAAACTAGTTAAAGAAAAATTATTTACTCTTATAACTAAAATAAGAATAGTTAGTATTGACATGTTGATAAAATCATTTATATATTTTCCAATAAAAAGTAAATAAAAATTTAAGAAAAAAGAAAAAGAAAACAAAAGCTGTTTCTGTCTGCACAGCTTTTTTTATCTTCATACTTATAAATAATTTTATTTTCACGAAATTTCCTGTGGGATATTTCTATTGCTGTGCGTGATTTTTTTATTTTTCTTTGTTTTAGCAATAATTTCTATAGAAATAATTTCTCATTAAATGTGAGTTGTAGAAGTATAATATTTAACTTTAAATACTCACATACTAAAAACTAAATGAAAATGACAAATTCGCAACTTCCGTGTGTGACTTCTGTGAGTGATCATTTATGAGCTGCATTTAAACGATTGCTGTGACTCTATGATACATAGTGCAATCCTGCAACTTTCTGGAAATCATTACAAATGTTTAAAATATTATTTAAAAAAAAAGTATATCACTGAAAATTACATTTTTTGAGGAATTAAAGTTTATTTATCTAGTAACAAAGTGCTGATCCTCATTGAAACGCCAATAATAATAAATGCAACTCTGAGGAGATGTTTATATGCCAAAATTTTATATGCCAAAGTTTTTGAATAATTTATTCTTTAATAATAATACTAACATATACCATTTTTTGTTTACAAAATATTTATATAGATTAAAACTAAATGCAAGTAAATTCGAGATTCGCCAGTTTTATTTTTATGATAATAGGCATAACATATACAAGTTTCTGTGAGTGATTTTTTGGAAATGCTCTGTGGCAGTTAGGATAAACTTTTGATGTACTGGGATATAAGTTGAATAATACTTTGTATTGTATCTTTGAATTTGTAAAATAAGCTTTGATTTGCAATTAAAAAAAAGTTCATAAAAAATAAAATCATTAAAAAAAAACATGAGAATTTGTATGATAAAAAAAATAAGTTCTTTTTTCAAAATTTAAAACAGTACTTTACATTTGCTAAACTCAGAACTCAACATTTTGCTAATTAAGAATTAATATTTGCTAATCATTTGGACATTTTGTAAACTAAGTTCAAATTAAAAAAACAACAACAACAAAAAATATTTTTTTACTTCTATGCTAAGGTTTTAACTCCCAATCGATTGATTCCCTGTAATTTGAACTAAAAATTTACATTTACTTTTTAAATTACAAGTTTACATTTGTTAAAAAGTTTACTTTTAGCTTTTTTTTCTTTACCTTTTTATAAATATAAAAGTTGTAAGTAATGTGTTATAGTTTTTAATTATATACTTTTATTTTTTTTTTAATATATATATATATATACTTTTATTTGGAGACATTTTAAAATATATTTTCACTCTATTTTAGTTCTATACAACTTAAAGGAGAGATTTGTAAATTCTCAAGCTATTTATACATATTGTGGTACGTATTTACACTTATTGTAGTATTTACAAGTACATAGTGACCCAAATAAATTTTTTTTTCAGAAATTGTTCTATATCTAAACTACTTTCTTTTCTGGCTTTCTATTGTTTTTTAACAAATAAATATTGTAGTTTATCAATTTGTGCTTTTTTAAAAAAATTTTAATTTAAATAAAAATATCATTTTTAAGCTAAAATTACCAAAATATACAACAGAGCATCGTATATTTATAGTGGAAAAATAGAGGAATCAAATGGCCTCTATATTTGCCGGACATGAATCCATGTGATTTTTTCTTATAGTGATATATTAAAGATAAAATCTATAAGAACTCACCAAGAACACTGGATGATATGAAAAGTGCAATTATAGAGCATACCCTGTATTTACACTTAGTTTTATCTACAGTATCCTTCTGCTAAATCTTTGGTTTCAAATAAAATGCTCTTAAAATTATTTGATAGATTAATGTTACTTAGTTGTATCTGGAGGTAAACATTTCGAAAACTGTATATACGTTAAACCATAAATACTTTTCTCTCTATAATTCTGTATTTTTCCTAAACATTTCTAAGTTTTCCATTCAATAATAATATTTTGTTTTTAAAACTTTTATTTGGGCCACCTTTTTTACATTTATTGTAATATGTATTTACACTTAGTGCATATGTGTTTACACTTATTGTGATGTGTAAGAGCTTTTTTGCTAGCATAGCTGTGTGAGAAATTAGTTTTATCTACAGTATCCTTCTGCTAAATCATCCTCAACCTCTTGTGTCTTGTGAGGTGTGTTGTTTTATTTTTTTGCTAAATTTTTTATTTAAACTTAGTTTTCTAATATAAGTTAATGATACTATTTTAAATTTTTCAATAATACTCAACTTCTGAGATAAATTTCAAGCTTTAGGAATCTGGGAACAATGGACCTTTTTATTATAAAATAATTATTTTCTTATACTACTTTTTGCAAGTAGTTAATTAGCAAATAATTCTTCGGGTAGTTGCTCTGGTGAAAAAGATAAAAGAAATGAAAGTAATTAAATAAGAAGCAACTACACACTAAGGACAAATTTATAGGCTAGAATTAGGGTGGGTCATAAATCATATTTTGAAAATGTCTGCTGGTACCCCTTAAAGTGTTCTATGTGATAAATTAATACTAAATTAAAAAAATTTTAAATAAAAAAAAATTTTAGGGGTCACTCACAGCCCTTAGACAACATCAGACATGTCTCTAATATTTTGAAAAAAAAAGTTCTTTAAAGTATATTATATTGGGTCTCAAAAGAAGTGAAATTTTATAAAACGTATAAAAACAATGATCATTTCATATAAAAATTACTAGTTTAAATTTAATGGCTTAAAAACTATCGTTTTTTCAACAAAAAATAAAAAAGTACATATTTTCATGGTTTTTTAAATGAACTTTTTAAATTTGTGTTAAGATTTTTTTTGATTAACTTTTTTAATTTGTAATTTAAAATTTTTTAAATAATTTTTAAATTTTTTATAAAATTTCACTTTTTTTGAGACCCAACATGATATGCTTTAAAGAACTTTTTTTTTCAAAATATTAGGGACTCGTCTAATGTCTAAGGGTCTTGAGCAATCCCTTAAATGTTTTTGTTTTGTTTTCAAATTTTTTAAATTTAGTATTAATTTACCACATAGAACACATTTAGGGGTTATCAGTAGACATTTTCAAAAAATGTAGTTTTATGAGCCACCCTAGATAGAATGGTAGATAAGGCAGGTGATGCTTTGTATGTAAATATATTATTTAGGTGATGCTCTTATGTAAGATTCTCTTTGGTATTCTCCTTGGTAAGTTGCATTTGCAGTGGCAAATGAAAATTACCATGGAGACGAAAATATCTTATATAAAATTCTCAACATTTTTTAAAATAAGAGTAGGAGGATCATGTTAAACCTTGCCTAGCAATACTTCTAAGGGAAGTTTTACAATTAAAATACCATATCCTGATTTACAAATCAGGTTTATACTGATTAAGACATTGGATTGTGTTCTTTCATATATTTATATTTGAATAAAAAGTGACATTATATATCTAGTCTAAACCACACAAATAGAAATATTGATTAATAATTGAAAATTTGAAAAAACAACATCAAAAATTTGTAGGTATAAGGTTGTGGCAAAATTTATACATATAAACTAAATGATAAAAGATAATTATTTCTTTTTTTCATGTCTCTTTTTTTCACCCTTTCAGAATCATTTTTATATCTAGAGATATAAAAATGATTTTGAAAACATGTTTTTGTAGCTTATAAATCTTTTGAAGTTTTGTAACTTGTATACTCATCTCATAATATATTTGGATTGTTAATGAAACAAGTTGATGAAACAGTGAATTAGACTAAAATATATTGATTTAAGATTTTACTTATTGGAGTATTAATGAACTCAATACATGTCAATAGTTTTACTATTGACATGTATTGAGTTCATTACCAACTTATTGGTAGTAAATGATAGTTTACTAACCAATAACTTTATTTCTGTGTATCAATGGGGTTTTTTAAAACCCCATTTTTAATAACAAAAAGGTAGTTGGTATCATTTATTTAGACTTTGAGAAAGTCTTCCACACTGAGTTTCACTCTAAGTTACTGTTCAAATTGCACTATATTGGTTTTTGGAATGAATTGCTAAAATTGATTAAACTTCGAACTCCTTAACAAATCTATTAAAAAATTGGCCGAAAAAATGAGCCATAACTTGCATTAGTTAAATGAAATTTTAACCTTTAAGTTATTGTAATGTGTAACAACTTTAGAATCTTCTGAAAATTGAGTTATCTGAAATTTGTTTAGTTATTTATTTTTATAAAGTTTTTTTTTTTTTGTTTCTATAAATTAATTTTATTTAGGAATTGTTTTGGTTGCTATTAATCCTTATCAAAGTGTTCCAATATATGGTTCTGACATCATTGCTGCTTATAATGGCCGTCAAATTGGGGAAATGGATCCACACATATTTGCAGTTGCTGAAGATGCTTTTAAAAATATGGTCAAGTTAGAAAACTTTTGAAACTTTTTTTATATTTTTATTTATAAAAATATATTATTAAAAAATGTTATACTTTTAATATATATATATATATATATATATATATATATATATATATATATATATATATATATATATATATATATATATATATATATATATATATATATATATATATATATATATATATATGTATACATATATATATATATACATATATATATATACACATATATATAATATATATATATATATATATATATATATATATATATATATATATATATGTATATATATGTATATATATGTATATATATATGTATATATATATACGTATGTATATATATATATGTATGTATATATATATATATGTGTATATATATATATATATATATATATATATATATATATATACATATATATATATATATATATATATATATATATATATATATATATATATATATATATATATATATATATATATATATATATATACAGTGCTTTTTTTTCTAAAAAAAAAGGTGCCAGAACTCACCTGTATTTTTTTTTATATGTATCTATATATCAAAAACGAAGGAGAAATTAGCAATTCAATTCATATCCAATTAGGCAGTAACAAATAAATGTAGCTGTTTTCCAATATAAAAAGCTTTTTTTTTTCTTTTCAAAATAATGAAAAGTGTTTTTTTTCTGAGAGGTTGAAGATGATAGAACATGTCACTGTATACAAAATACAAACTTTACAAAGCAAGAAACTTTTATTCACACATCCCATTGTTTTTTCCAATTTTTGTTAGAAATATTCTGCTCATCTCCTTTTCTTGGTTTTAGTGTCTACTGCTGAATGCCTTCCGCTAAATAACTATGAATCAATGTACTTTGAAGAATTGAAGCTTGTTAGCGGTGGTCTCATTAATTTAATGAATAGCAACGTTGAACTGTTTTTTTTATTAATGAAGCCCTTGTTGGCGTGATAATCAGATTCATCTGTAAAAATCCACGTTTGTATTCACTTGAGGAAATGGGGATAGTATGTAGAGCATGTACCAAATGAACTAAATTTTTAGCTGCTGAATATTAAGCAATTCTGCGCATGAATGTGACTCTGCTATTTTTGAGGGAAGCATGATGTATGATACACAATGTAAAGCTAATCAAGAAATGATTTGAATCTGTTAATACTTAAGATCTCCCTAATGGTCTATGATTAGCACAATGCCAAACTATAACAGAAGGTTAATTTGAAAATGCCACTTTCACATCCTACCATCACATGCTACAGAAACTAAATAATTCATCAAATATTCTTCTTTCATTCCATAAGAATGAATACATTTAAGTAAAGCATCAAATAATCCTTTATCCGTAATGCTTTTAAGTTCCACTAAATCCAAAAATAAATTAATTGGTGAATTCTTTACACTGCCTTTTACACAGCATCAAATTTACACTATCAGTGTTAATTTTTGACTTATAGTGGTTTATTCATCAGTTTTTAATGAAACCTTACTCTTTGATTTTATGACTTCTGCAATAATTTTTTTCCTCATTTCAATTCCTATATGATTGACTATATTAATGCATTCGTTTGTAAAAATAGGGAATACAACCTCTTTCAATTCCGTTAATTTCTTGAAGATCAATTTCTTTTTCAAAGTTATTAAAGGACTGGTTTCCTTTTGCAACTTTATATGCAGATCGAAAAATGTTTGCTGTTACAATTTTCTCATGCGTTTAAAATATTGTTTAAAAAAGTCTCTTTTTTAGCTTCTTCTACTATCTTAAATGCAGCTTGATATCCAGCGGATTCTTTGTGATTAAATATTTTTTTATGTAGAAAACTAAACTGTTGGTTTTTATCTTCGCCATAATCATAACTTAATCATAACATAATCATAAACTTCATATTTGGACCATTATTTCAATATTTTTATTGTTATCTTAACTTCTATACCAAGTGGTTTCATCTAAGCTTTTTTTCTCGAAAACAAAGACACTTGTTTTTGGAATAAAACTCTTTTTTTGCTCTTAAGTCCAATAACTTGGCCAGCTATAATTAGTGTAATTGCGGGTAGAAAGTGAATCTGATGTTGCAATTTTGATTTCTTCTGCGCTTAATTGGTTCAGACTGTAATGCTCTTAAGTCCAACAAATTGGCCAGCTATAATTAGTGTAATTGCGGGTAGAAAGTGGATCTGATGTTGCAATTTTGATTTCTTCTGCACTTAATTGGTTCAGACTGTAATGCTCTTAAGTCCAACAACTTGGCCAGCTATAATTAGTGTAATTACGGGTAGAAAGTGGATCTGATGTTGCAATTTTGATTTCTTCTGCACGTAATGGTTTAGACTTTGTAACCTCACCTAAAGACAAAGCTGAATTGTTTGCCAAGAACTTTTCATCAATATCATCTCTTGATGCCACTAGTTGCGTTCTACCTGATATAGCCGTCAAACAGGTTGATCTATTGCTCGACATTCGTATCACTTCAGCTTCTGTATCTAAAGTGATTTCCCGCTTAGACTCTTCTACAGCTTGCGGCCCGGACAACATACCTGTTATAGTCTTGCAGGAGTGTTCTCCGGAGCTGTTGTCTATCCTTTCAAAACTATTTAACAAGTGCTTATCAGAGTCTTGTTTTCCAGCCTGCTGGAAAGCAGCATCTGTTATTCCTATTTTTAAAAATTCTGGAGAGCGATCTGATTCGTCTAACTACCGTCCCGTTAGTCTTCTTCCTATCATAAGCAAGGTTTTTGAATCTTTAATTAACAAACACTTAATCTCTTATCTTGAATTTAATAACTTCCTTTCTGATCATCAATATGGATTTCGATCTTCTCGTTCTACGGCTGATTTGCTATCAGTAATAACCGATAGGTTTTATCGCGCATTAGATAAAGGTGGAGAGGTTAAGGCCATTGCTCTTGACATTTCTAAAGCGTTTGATAAAGTTTGGCATGCTGGTCTTCTCCATAAGCTTTCTTCTTACGGTGTATCTGGAAACATCTTTAAGATTATTGAATCCTTCCTTTCCAATCTAATTTACATTAACGATCTTCCAGATATTCTCACATCTAAGGTGGCATTGTTCGCTGATGATACTACCATTTATTCTTGTCACGATAAGAAGCCAACTCCCTCTGATTGCTTGCAGGGGGCATCTGAGCTTGAAAAGGATCTCACTTCTGCTACAGCATGGGGCTCACAGTGGCTGGTGAACTTTAATTCAGATAAAACTCAATTTTTTTCAGCCAATCGTTATCGCAATAGTTTAAACCTTCTTATATTTATGAACGGTAATGTACTCGATGAGTCTCCTACCCTTCATCTTCTAGGATTAACTCTTACTTCTGATCTTTCTTGGAAACCTTATATCAAATCCTTTGCAAAATTAGCATCTGCTAAAGTCGCTTCTCTTTATCGAGCTCGTCACTTTCTTACTCTGGATTCTATTCTTTATCTCTATAAATCTCAAATCCGGCCTTGTATGGAATACTGTTGCCATATCTGGGGCGGATCTTCTAATGATGCCCTTTCTCTTTTAGACAAGGTGCAAAAATGCATTGTAAACATAGTTGGACCTGCTCTTGCAGCCAACCTTCAACCTCTGTCACATCGTCGTAATGTTGCTTCTCTTTCTCTTTTCTACAAATACTATAATGGGCACTGCTCGATAGAGCTAGTGTCTCTTGTGCCATCTACTAAAATTCCTTCTCGTGTTACTCGTCATTCAATTAAGTCTCATCCTTTTTCTGTTACTGTTCTTAAGTGCTCAAAAAACTCTTATTCGTCTAGTTTTTTTCCTCGAACATCAGTTCTTTGGAATTCGCTTCCTTCATCTTGCTTTCCTGATTCATATAATTTGCAATCTTTTAAGTCGTCTGTCAATCGTTATCTTGCTCTACAATCTTCATCTTTTCTCTTCCAGTAACTTCCAACACTAATTAGTGGTTGCTTGCAGCCTTGTTGGAAGCAAAGATAATAAAAAAAAAAAAAAATTCGATTTTTTTCTGAACCAGGGGAGTCCACCGAGTAGCTTTTTTTTTAAATCACTTTTTAAATGTAATTGTAATAAATTAAGTAATAATTTTAAATTTATAACACTGATAGCAGGAAATTCGTTAATGATTTAATAAAAATTACTGTTGCAAATAGCGTAATGTTTTTGTTTTTACAAAAACATTACGCTTTTTTAAGTAATAAGACATTATGAGATTGATATTCGGATGAACATTGCACAGAAATTTTTTGCACAGAAATTTTTTGCACAGAAACAAGTTTTTCTTGAAAAATTTCTTAAAAATGCCTATGGTTGTGAGATTGATATTTAGACAAACAAACGTCAAGAAAACTAGCGCGTGGCGTTAGTTTTCTTGACTAAAAACTAACGCTTATTAAGAAATAAAGAAAATTAATTCTTGAGCAAATTTAGTTTTTACTTAACCACTAAGAAACAATAGATTCTGAAATGCAGCGCTGTAATGTTTTCAAATCTGCAAAAAATGTTTTACTTAATCTTACTTATTTGCATTTTTAGTTTAAAATTTTTAAATATATTTAAAAATGATCTAATTTCATTATATAATATTACAGAGAAAAATTTTTTTTTAAATAAAAATAAATAAAACATGTTAATTTATCAAAAAAAAGGTTCTGGAACGCTGTTCCGGTGCATTGTAGGAAAAAAAAAGCACTGTATATATATATATATATATATATATATATATATATATATATATATATATATATATATATATATATATATATATATATATATATATATATATATATATATATATATATATATATATATATATATGGGCTCAAGTAAGGCATATTGCGAATTGTGATTGCTTTTTATTTTGCAATTTTTTTTTTTTAATATTTTTGCTTTTTTTTTTTTTAAATTTGATTTCTTTTATAATTTAGCAATATATTTGGCCATTTTTAAAAGTAATGTTTTTGTCTGAGTTTTCTATTAGGGGTCTTTTTCTTAAAAAAACTTAAACTTTTAAATTTTTTTTTTGCGATTAGATTTTTTTGCGTTAATTCGAGCCCTGTACACATATATATATATATATATATATATATATATATATATATATATATATATATATATATATATATATATATATATATATATATATATATATATATATATATATATTTATATATATACACACCCACACACACACACACACACACGCACGCACGCACGCAGAGTAGTGCTCAAAAGTTTAGCATGCAGCAGAATTAAATTTATTTTTTTCCATATATGTTATTTTTTCAGTTAGTAAAGCTTTAAAGGGACTATCAAGTCCTGAGACATGTTGTGTTCATATTAAAGAGAATGTTAAAAAAAAACATCTGAGCAAATTTTTTTTGATTGAAACTAATTAATAAATGTATACCAAGAAAAACAAATCTTGTTGTTTTAGTCGAAGCTCGTCTTCTCCGTTTTCTCTGGTATTTTGAGTATGTAAAATAAATGCGATTTTCCAGGCGCATTATACAGACTTGATAATTTATTCAAGCGTGTTTAATTCATAGAAGTTTTAGAGCATGACGTCATTGGAAACGTTCTAGAAATTCTTTAAAAATTTTACTATTAAATTTTACTCAAATAGCTAACTATAGTTACTTAATTTATTAAAAGTTTATTTTATTAATTGTTCGTTAGTTTTTTACAAATCTAATGAACAATTAATTAAACCAAGCACTAAGAAAAGATATAAAAATTAAGAATATACTAATAAAATATATAATTTGTAATTAACTTTTAAAATTTTGACAATTAAAAAAATATATATTATAAAACATTTATTTTTGTAAACAAATGATAGTAGTTTAAAAGTTTTATGGCTTTACAGATGTGGCTCCAAGAATGAGCCATAATGATAAAGTAATAGTTCATTTGATAATATATTCTTAAAAAAATTTATGCTAGATATCTCAAAATGCAACAAATCGTAAATAATACAATTCCTAAAACATTTCAACAGAATACTCTAGAACTTTATTTCGCTTAGTCAGCGTGTTTTTTGAACCAATAGAATTAGTTTGTTTGCAAATTTGGCGGGTTTTTAGTGTTCGCGAATATTCTTTTTATTCTTCCACAAGATGTTTTAAGAACATTCAAGTTAATTATGTTTCCATGTATGTCTGTAAAATTAAAATTAATATATATTAATTTTTAAGCCCCCGTCATAATATATATTGGATGTTATAATGGAAATATAAATAATGAAATAAGATCACCTCAATACCAAAAAATACATTTTTGAAAATCAGAGAAAAAATGCGTTAATATTTTTTTTTTTCATATTTACAAAGTAAATTAATAAAAGTGCATTATTATTTAGGTTAAAAATTATTTTATCTAATATTTTGAAAGAAAAACTTATAACAAAAGAAATCAAAATACACGTGGTCTAGACGATTGTTTAAAAAAAAGTGGCGCAAATAAAATACTATTTTGTTTTTTATTTTATTTTTGTTTTTAATTTTATTTTGTTTTTAATTTTATTTTGTTTTTAATTTTATTTTGTTTTTAATTTTGTTTTACAAACACATTTTAGAACTTTAAAATATAATAAAAATGAATATGATTTGGAAATTGTATGTAAAAAATAACAATTGGTGTTTTAAACAAAAAAACAAATCTATGATGTCATGCACTAAAACTCCTATGAATTAAACACACTTGAATAAATTATCAAGTCTGTATAATGCGCCTGGAAAATTGCGTTTATTTAACATACTCAAAATACCAGAGAAAACGGAGAAGACAAGCTTCGACTAAAACAACAAGATTTGTTTTTCTTGGTATACATTTATTAATTAGTTTTAATCAAAAAAAATTTGCTCAGACGTTTTTTTTTAACATTCTCTTTAATATGAACACGACATGTCTCGGGACTTGGTAGTCCCTTTAAAAAATGTTTTCTATTTATCAATTAACTAGACATAGGCAGATAAAATAAAAAAAGTTTGCTTTGGCACATTCTTTTTTTTTAAGTACATACATTAAGCAGTATCTTAATGTATGTACTTAAAGGTAGCTTTGAAAAAAACCGGTCATAAGTTAAGCATGCTCTTCTTAAAGCTTTTAAGGAGAGCTTTTATAAATTTGTTGCGGTAAAAGTTGCATCACAGTAAATTAAACTTTTTAATGAAATATTGCAAAAATATATTTAAAGTAGTATGTAGTATTTTAAAAGTTTGTTTTAAATTAATTCATCTTTTTTGTTTAATTCTAGATTATATAATAGAAGTCTGAAAAATTCCCATGGGAAGAAGGACAATAAGTCAAGAAATCAAACAGCATATTATTGGCCTTAATATGAGAGGTCACTCTAATATTGAAATATCTTGAATTTTAAAGTGTGTTTTACCATCATGTGTAAGTAGAACTATTGCTAAGTTTAATGAAACTGGTTGTACTGCTGACAAAAGCATTGTGAGCCACCAAGAAAGAAAAATACCACTGATGATAATTGTATTTATAGAATTGCCAGAAAAAATCCTAAATACTCAGCAGATTGCACAAGAAATAAACCTGGCACTTAAAAATCAAATATCAAGGCAAACAGTTAATAGAAGACTAATAAACCATAAGCTGTGGTGCTATGTTGCTGCCAGAAAACTATTATCAAAACCAGCAAACCGTTTAAAATGAATTAAATTTTGCAAAGCGATTTTAAAAATGAGTTATTAAGAAAGTATAATAGTCGCTGTATTGTTTTTAGTGATCAATCTAACTACAGCATCCTAAATCGTAAAAACAAAGTAATTGTCCGTAGGCACTACAATGAAAAGTATAATAGTCGCTGTATTGTACCTATACTACAAGATGGAGGTGGTACAGTTGGTATTTGAGGCTGCATCACATATGATGGCCCAGATCTACACATGTTATACAGCAGTCGAAAGGACCAACATAGATACATTGATATCCTTGAAAACTATTTAATGCTTATCAAAGACATTTTTTTTGGTAACGAGCCAGAGTGGATGTTTCAACAAGACAATGTTCTATGCCATAAAGCAAAATCTGTAACAGAATGGTTTGAGCAAAACAATATCAAGGTATTTTAATGGCCAGCTAGATCACCTAATTTGAATCCAATTGAAAATGTTTAGACTGTGTAAGGCTGAAATCATACCAAAGAACCAGTAACTTCAGCTGAAAATCTAAAAGAAAATTTAAATAAGTCGTTTAATGGTTTGACAGTTGAATATTGTGGTAAACTTTTCGATTCTATAAGAAGAAGATGATTATTATGCATAAAAAATAGAGGTGGTCACATTCTTTATTAAGGTTCGACCTAAAAACAACTTAAAACCCGTGTGCTAAACTTATGAGCAGCTTATTTCTTATTTTATATATGATTAATTTCTTCCAAAAAATTTAATCTTAATATGTTCTAAATATCAAAAAATCTCTTAATATGTTCTAAATATCCTAAAAAAAAATTTTGTGTTCAGAATAACTAAAATTTTTTATCTTTTTTTCTATTTTTATGTTCTAATGAAAAATTATTTTATTGATTCTGCTGCGTGCTAAACTTTTGAGCACTATTGTATATATCTGTTGTATTAAAATAATAATAATAAAAAATAACGTAAAATATGTTTAAAAGCGCTCAATAATAAAGAAAGTTTAAAGTTTTTCAATTAGAGCAGTATATATATTTGCATAGAGAAAAAAACAGAAAGTTATCTGTGGTTATCTGGAAACTTGAAGAAAAAAACTTTTCATTCTTGACTGAGTGGAAAATTACCAAGCGCTTCAAACTATATAATTTTTTATCTAAAATTTTTAATTTAAAATCTTCATTAAAATCTTTTCTTTAATGAGAAGTTATATAGCTTTGATGTTTTATTTATTATCTTTTTTTTTAATAATTTTTTATTTATTTAGTTTAGGCAAAAATCAATCAATTATTGTATCGGGAGAAAGTGGGGCTGGGAAAACTGTAAGTGCAAAGTACACAATGAGATATTTTGCCAATGTTGGCGGTTCTCAAAATGAAACAACTATTGAGCAGAAAGTTTTGGCATCAAATCCTATAATGGAGGTATCTTTTTTAACATGTACATATTAACATATAAGCATACAGACATAGATAAACATAGAAAGATCTGTGCAAGGACTCTGCCTAACACATTAGGGCATTATACGTTTTACACTAAAAATAGAAAAACAACACAACAAACAATAACAAAAATATTCCTACTTAAAAATGAATGTTAAAAAAGAAAGTTAAAATTTAGAATGTAGCTTGAGTTTAAACCACTATTTAGTTTTTTAATGTTATTCACCTCCCCAAAGCTGAGAAGACTGACCGGTACAGTCAAGGAAACTACTTTTTTTTAATTTCGTTTTTGACACTTTCTGCAAATCTTTAATTCCAAAATACAAATCTTTATGAAGAAGTTGAGCATGGTACTACCAGGGATGCGGTGGGGATCAAACATGGAACTTCTTGTTTATGAATCGAGCGCTTTACCACTACACTACTACGGCAGCTTAAAACTCAGAATTTTTAATACTATAATGGATCAATTACAATTTTTCTAGCTATGTATTAAAATCAAGCTAAACTGAAAAAAAAGCATAGCACAAGCACTGTCTGCAGGTTTAGGCAATCCAATTAAATGCTTACAGTTTTAGGTATTCAATAAACTTTTTACCCCCTCATTCTTTTCTTACAAAATGTATAAAACTGGTTAAAAAGTTACTTACAACTGTTGACAACTTGTTGGCATTATGTTTTTCTGTAAATATGAAAGTTACAATTATACAATTTAAAATAATTTTTAAAAATTTTTTATGTTAAATTAGGCTATTGGAAATGCCAAGACTATACGCAATGACAACAGTTCTCGATTTGGTAAATATATAGAAATTAACTTTAATGACAACTACAACATAGTTGGAGCAAATATGCGAACTTATCTGCTAGAAAAGTCTAGGGTTGTTTATCAAGCACCAAACGAAAGAAATTACCACATTTTTTATCAATTATGTTCTCATAGAAACCTACCTTGTTTTCAAGAGCTGAATTTGAGTAAGATTTAAATTGCTTTTATTGTTAACATTTTAATATTATTTTTAAAATAAGATTGGAAAAAAATTGTTTCAAAATTTCTTCTTTTTTAAAAATATCAGACTTTAACAAAAATTTAAGTTGTTGGATAATGGAATAAAATTGTCTAATGATTTAAAAAGTTTAATACTAAATAAAAACTTGTAAATTTGTTTTTAATAATTTTATGCAAATTATGCTTTAAAGTATAATTTATAAAAAACCTTTTTTTTTTTGTTATATTTTTGACCAGCAAAATTATAAAAGAAACTTGTTGGAAATGTTTATACTAATTCTTTACTCATTTACACATTTGTAGTACATTTCTTATACACTCACATAAATATTAAAAATATATATTATTTCGAGTAGAAATTATTTAAATTAGAAACAAATAATTTAAAATATATGTTGTTTAGAGTAGAAATGATTTGAATGAGAAGCAAATAGTTTGAAGTATATGTTATTTAGAGTAGAAATGGTTTGAATTCGAAACAAATAATTAGAAATATATGTTGTTTAGAGTAGAAGTGATTTGAATTCAAAACAAATAATTAGAAATATATGTTGTTTAGAGTAGAAGTGATTTGAATCAGAAGCAAATAGAAAAAGCAATAGGTGCTTAAACTTGGTTTTAAATTTTATTGTTAGAAATTACTTATACAAACAATGACATTAACCATTGTAGCATAGAGTATTACATATCCACCATATCCACATCAGGTTTTTACATCCTCCTCCATCAAATTAATCTCTTTCCTATTCCCCAACTTGTTCCCATCAACTCAAGTCAATTTTTTTCTGCTCCAAAACCCTCTGCAACATATTGTAAAGTCTTTTTAAAAAACTCTTTATACCAGTCCTTAGAGATAATCTTATAATAACATTTATGGAATATCCCACAAAAATGTTATGACATTTTTTCAGCAAGTTATGCTGAAGTCGGAATATCTGTTGTGCATATGCAAATATAAGATTACTCACTAAAAAACAAATTACTGTCACCGTGGAAATTTCTGAGGATCTGCCATCGCCACTGCAGCATCATGTGGTGTATAATTACTTTTACCAGGTTATCACTGTTATTGTTTTTTTCCTAACCCACCAACAAAAATCACCACTGCATTACCACAGTTATTTTTATTGCACCACAGTTATATCAGTTTTTGTCAAAAGATTGCCAAATCAAAAGTCTATTTTTGGTTATTTTTTTAAATCTATTATCTTTTAATTAAATTTCTTGTACAAGTTTTTAATTTTACTTTTTCACAAAAACAAATTTTAGTGGTTTAAAATTTTTCTTGATTTATCAAAACATTTATATGTGTCAAGATTGTTTTTGTTTTTTTTGTTTTTTTTTGAACAAAAGAGTTTTGTTAGTTATATTACACCATTCATTTTAGTTTACAGTCTACATAGTTTTACATTATTCATGTTAGTTTACAGCCTACATTATTCACGTTAGTTTGCAGCACACATTCATGTTTATTACCTTTTTTTTTATGAAAACATTTTTTTTAACCACTTTACTTTTATTTCCAATCACTGTATTTTTTATTTATTTACACTTCTTTAACATTGATGCATTTAAACCTTAAAACTATTAAACCGTAAATTATTAGCATAAACCTTTAGCATAAATTTACTGCAACGTTATTTAGAATGAATTCATAATATTATAATTTTTATTTTATTAGATGTTATGTTTATTTAGAGTCGGTTGATGATTTCTTTTATACTCAGCAAGGTAAGAGTCCTTCCATTAAAGATGTAGACGATCTAAAGTGCTTTCAGGAAACCTGCGAAGCTTTAGAATTGCTTGGCATATACAGTGAGCAACAAAGAATGTTATGGAGAATCCTTGCTGCCATTCTTCATTTGGGTAATGTTGATATAGTTGCAGTTTCAAAAAGTAAAGATGAGTGCTCTATAAAGGTGTTTTACATTTCATTTAATAAACTTTTGTTTTCATTACTTTTAATTATTTTTACCAATATTTTTGTTAAACTTTATTATAGTTTAATGTGCTTTTTCTCATTTAAAAGAATTTTATTCTCTACAGGTAGATGATTCTCATGTCAGGATGGTTTCTAGTTTATTAGGAATTGATTGTGGGCAATTGTGCAAGTGGCTATGTGCTCGTAAAATTATAGCAACCGGAGAAGTTTATGTCAAACCGTTAACATGGCATGAGGTATTACAATTTTCAGTATAGTTATAATCATGCAAGTAACTGTAAGTAAATTATAGTTGTGACAACATAGTTATCCATATTTAACATAGTTAAATATGCAATTCAAAATATAATATTTGATAAACCTTTTACCTCCTACAGTTGAGAATGTTTACAGTTTATAAACATCGTTTCTTGGAAAAAATTGTAAGAGGCAGTGTTACTATACAGAGAAATGAACTGAACCAATACATACTTTTTATTTTATTTTCATGTTGATTATGTTTCATTATAACATTACAAAATAAAAAGTTTTTAATTAGGCAAACAATGGGCGTGATGCTTTAGCAAAACACATTTATGCACAATTATTTGATTGGATTGTTGAGCATGTTAATTCTAACTTAGCAATGGCATCAGAAAGAAAGTCTTTTATTGGTGTTCTTGATATTTATGGGTAAAATTTTTTTCTTATTTTGTTACTTAAATTACTTTAAGATTTAAAAAGATCAAATTATTTATGGAAAAAACATAAAATACAAATTATTTATGCAATAACAAATTATTATTCAAAAAACTTATTTATGCAAAAAACTTTTTGTATTAATTATGCAAATAAAAACTTACTTTTAGATTTGAAACCTTCCAAGTAAACAGCTTTGAACAGTTTTGTATTAATTATGCAAATAAAAACTTACTTTTAGATTTGAAACCTTCCAAGTAAACAGCTTTGAACAGTTTTGTATTAATTATGCAAATGAAAAACTACAGCAACAGTTTAATCAGGTGATCTAATCGAGAACATTTTAATATTTTTTAAGCTTTAATATTATAATTTTGTTAATTTTATAGTAAAAATTATTTTTAATTTAAAGTACAGTGACTTATAAAAAAATTGTTGCCATTAAGAATTTTATTATTTAATACATTTATCATTATTTGTTCCTAATAAATATAAACAAAATATATTATAGTTTTATGTTTTTCAGACTTTTTATTAGGGTAAAGTCTAATCAAAGGTTGCATGAAATTAGTTTATAGTTTTTTTAGCCAATCATTGTTTGGTGTTGTGGTTATTGTAAAAAGATAGAAGCCTAAATAGTTTATGTTTTTTTTTAATTTATAAAAATGTTCAAATGAAATTATATATCATTTTAGCATGTCTTTAAACTTGAACAAATGGAATATGTGAAAGAACAAATTCAGTGGTCATTTATAGATTTCTATGACAACCAACCATGTTTAGATTTAATTGAAGAAAAATTAGGAATTCTTGATTTGTTAGATGAAGAATGTAGGGTAAGAAATACTTTAGTTTTTAGAGCCTAAAAGTCTAAGATTGACTTTTTTTAGTTTCTATTCTCTCGTCAATTTCGACAATAATAAAATTGTCAATTTTAACAATAATCTAAATAATAATTAAATAATTAAATAATATAATTAAATAAATTAAGTAAATAATTAAGTAAATAATTGAAAGAAAAAACTTTAAAATTATTTTTATAAATATTTTTGAACTGGTTTTTAGTAAAAATATTTAATACGTTTAAATTAATTTTTTGTAACATTTACCAGTTCTTTCCTATTTATACAGTTCTTATATCTTCTTTCTTTTTTTCCTATTTGATAGTCATCTTTCCTTGTGTATTTCAGGGCAGATATAATAAATGGCAGTTAATTTGACTGACATCAAGACTAGACAGTTAGTTGCTCAATTTAATGTTTTCTTTAGTTTTGTAAAAAAATTAACTATTTTTTCAAAAAATTCCTTAAGTAATTCATAGTATTTAATCATTAAAAAAAATTTTGTAGAAGCAAAGTTTAAAAAAAAAAGTAATATTTAAACAAAATCTCTTGTTAAAATAATGACTGCTAAAGTTTCTTTTCAACAGTTGTACATTTCTTGTAAAGTAATGATGATTTAAGAAAATCAATTAATATTTCTGTGTTTTCTTGTTTAGAGTTTTACCTAAGGAAGAGGTTTATAAAAAAGCAAAAAAGTTTATTAATTCACATTCTTTTTTTATTACTTCTTTTATGTTTCAAGATTTCCAATTATTTTCAAAATTTCCTGTTTAAGTTTATTGTAAAACTCTATACAGGAAAGTCAATGATATTTTTAATGTTTTGAAGGAATTTTTTCTCATTCATAACAGGGTGTTAGCCAGGAATATATTTTTTACTATGTTTTTGCGATACTGAGAAAATTTATTGTTGTTGTGCTACAAAATATTGGGAATTTTTATTGATATTGTCCTATTACTTAAAAAAATATATATAATTGAATTTTGGGAGTTTTAAACCCATGGAATTCTGCAGTATACATGGTGCCATAGGGCTGGCTAACACTTTGCTTAATAGACTGTTCTCTTACATTTTATGTAAAACTCTACCAAGAGAAAACATAAATTGTTTTTCTTAAACTTTAATAACTTTGAAACACAATTTAAAACTGCTGAAAATTAACTTTAATAATCATTATTTTAACAAGAGGTTTTATTTGAGGATTATAAACATTTTTTTTCTTTCAAAAGATAATTAATATTTGTTATTTTCATAATATTTAGTTTTAATTTAGATGCCAAAAGGCTCAGATGCAAGTTGGGCTTCGAAATTGTATAAACATCATTTAAAGAATGGGCGTTATTTTGAAAAACCTAGAATGTCAGATGTAGCATTTATAATTCGTCATTACGCAGATGATGTTGTATATGATTGTAATGGGTTTGTAGAAAAGAACCGAGACACTATTAATGAAGAACATTTATCTTTACTTCGGGCTAGTGAGGTTTGTTGCTTTGTAATTTGTACAAAACAAAGTATAACACCACAGCAGTACTTTTATAGTGCTTTTGAAATTTAAACTGTAAACATAATATTTTAAACATAAAATGAAAACATATTTTTTTCAAGTATGAATTAGTGGGAGAATTGTTTGGCTCAAAAGATTTTACTGATGGTTTTATACAGAGGAAACGTACAACCTCCAGAGTTGGAAAAACAGCACCAAAAGGAAAAAAAACTGTTGGATCGCAGGTTAATATTTTGTAAACTTTAAAGTTTTTAAATGCTTTATAAACTATATTTCTTTATATAAAGTGAATCATCAGTAGTAGACTTTTTATATAATATGCAATTTTTGTAACACGTGACACATAAACCATGTGACATGTTTGTAATATGTGACAAGCTATATGGAAATGTGACACATGAATTATAGGGCATATATATATATATATATATATATATATATATATATATATATATATATATATATATATATATATATATATACACACACACACACATATGGTGTTTCTATTTAATATTTGTATATATTTTTTTTCTATATAGTATATATTTTCATCATTGCACCTGACTTCAGACCAGAAATTGAAGCAAAAATTTACATAAAAACTAAACAATGAATATAAATCATATAAATCATATGTAATTTAAGGCACATGTCTCATAAACAGCATATCATCTTCCATAGTTTTTTGTTAGATATAAAAGTAATTGAGTTAAACGTCAATAAAGTTTTAAACAGCACAGACATTTTTTTTTTGATTATTAAAATCAATAATTAAATTTTTTTTTTTTAAATTTTCATAATAAAAAAAAAAAAAAAATTAAATTTGTTTTTCATTTTTTAAATTCTTTTTAATGTTTTCATTATAAAAGCATTTATATTGTATTTAATTAAGAATTTTTTTAACTGTTTTAACGTTTACAGTTTCGTGATTCTCTGACAAAGCTCATGGAGGCCCTAAACTCAACTTCGCCACACTATATAAGATGTATTAAATCAAATGATCGTAAGGCTCCTTTTGAACTAGATTCAAAAAGATGTGTGCAGCAACTTCGAGCTTGTGGTGTGCTTGAGACAATAAGAATAAGTGCTTCTGGTTACCCATCTAGGTATAATTTTAAGTAGATAAAAAATATTTTTTAACTTAACACAATGAACAACAAAGAGAGATTGTCAAGTTTTGTGATGTGTCAATTGAATGAAACCTTTTTTATTTAAGAATATAATTTTTCTATAAGTATACACTTATAGAAAAAAAAGACATTTGAAATTGAAATAAGTTGTAAAGGCCAAAAAAAGAGTGCTAAATAGTTCTATTTTGAAAGACTTTGAAGGTTGTAAAAATTCTTGTTTTGTTTAAACACTTAAGCTTGGAAAAAAAAAAAAAAGGAAAAAAGGTTTTATAGAATTTCTATAAAGTTTTGAAATATATAACCTATAGAAATTCTGTAGGATTCTATCGAATTTAGTAGAATTTCTATAGGATCTTTATATATTTTTTGTTGGAATTGTTATGAAATTTTTTTTTCTATATAAGCTATAAGTAGAAAAAATGTTTTAAAGCAATTTCTTTAGAAATTAATAAAAGTTTTATAGAATTTCTATAGAATTTTGATATATTTAATTCTAAAGTTTATGGAAGTTCTATATAATTTTTTTTCCTGGAAGCAAGTCATATTTAAATGAAAAAAATCATTTTTGTGTGCTTAAAAAAGTGCAGATGTTCTTGAAAAAAAACTTTCATTAAGTTGGAAAGCACACAGAAATAAAATGAAACAATTCAATTAAAAGAAAGTTTACAACTTTGTTTTAGTATCAAGTATATTTAATATTTTGTTCAAAATCATTATTAATTTGTGTACCAAATAAAAATGTTTTTTCTTATTTCTCATAAGTTGGTTGTTCTGATTTATGGTGTTTTTAAAATGACCCATTAAATTGTGGCTTATCTAAGTTTGCTGAACAATGCAGAGAATGAATTCATTCTAAATTCAAATCAACATGTAACAGGTTTAAAAAAAAAAGTAGTAACATGGAATATGGTGGAAGACTAATCTCTTTTGTATTTGACTTTAACAGAAGAAGAGTTAATTCTGTTTAGTTAGATTATGTTCCGTATGTTGATTATATTTGTATTGTAAATATTTTTAATGTTTATAAATTTTATTCAATTCATCTAAATAAGATTTAGAAAAAAAATAATTTTATATTTTTTAATATTTAAAGTTATTATTTATAAAAAAAAAATTTAAAAGTTTTTGCAAATCTAATTTACAATAATTAGTATAGGGAGTGAGAATTGTAATAAAAATTCTCAGATGGGTTTGACGTCTGTTTATCATTCCTTTTGTCCCATTTGTGATACTTACTTGAATAAAATAAGTTTTATTTGATTGTCACAGTATAAAATCTCTGTCTCTTCGCTCCATTGTGTTAAGTATATAAGTTTTTTTTACACTAAATTTTTTTTTTAATTAATTTTTTTAGATGGTCCTATCAAGAATTTTTTTATCGGTATCGAATATTGGTTCCATGGAAAAAAATAAAATGGGATAATTTAATAGAAACATGTAGAATTATTTTAGATAATGTTATACAGGTACTTTATTATTATTGGAAGTTTTTTCAGAAAGCATAATTTCATTTTAACTTATTTTAACTTTATTAAAAATAGTTTTAAAAATAATATTTCTTTTATGTAGAGTTTTTTAATAATGCTTATGTTTCGTAGAATAAAGATAAGTTTCAATGTGGTAAAACAAAGATATTCTTTAGAGCTGGACAGGTTAAATTTTACTCATTTTTTTGGACAGGTTTAATTTTATTGTTTAATTAAAATTTATGAATATTTTGATGGTTTAAATTGAAGCTAGGTAAAAAATTGGAGGAATTTAAATAACTTATTAGAAATAGTTTTTACATTATGCATTAATAGTATAGCATTGTAGTGATTAACTTAACAATAAAATTTAAATTTAACAATTAAATCTAACAAATTTAACAATAGCATTGTAGTGATTAACTTAACATATTAGATATACTTACTAGTACTAAAAAATAATAAAATTGAGTAACCTCCCGGACCCCCTGGCACTGGAACACTCAAGTTCAGTGTTACTTGTATAGTTAAAAACTAGTCATTGGAGTGATTCCTTAATAAAATAAACAAATAAAACAAAAAGAAACAACAAAAAGTAATAATAAAAATAGTAAAATAAAAGGAGCAGATGGTATGTGCAAGGCTATTAAGCCATGAGAAGGTGACTCACCTAAAAATAAAAAGTTTTAATTTAGAAAGTTTCCTGAACTGACATTTTTTAACACTTGGAAGCACATTCTTCTAAGTCTTGAACAATGTTTATAAAAGTATTAAACAATGTTGTAACAAACTGCAGTAGTTTATCTTAAGGGTGCATAAGAGAAGGGTGCATAAGAGAAGGGTGCATAAGAGAAGAATAAAAGTATTTTGTGTAAATAAAGTGAAATGAATGTTTATTAATTATCAGCATGCTGAGAATTAGCAGTTTCATGAAATTAAGGTAGATGCAGGAAAACATGGGGAGTGAGTGAGAGTGCATTACAGATAACATGAAGAAGAGAGTGCATTACAGATAACATGAAGAGAGAGCGCATTACAGATAACATGAAGAGAGAGTGCATTACAGATAACATGAAGAGAGAGAGTGCATTATAGATAACATGAAGAACTTCTAGTAAGAGTAAAAGAGCTTAACAATTTACATATATTTTATATTGTCAGTAATGTGTTTAAGTTTTAATTCATTCGAATAATGTTTTTGTTTTTAATGGATTTTTATGTTATTTTAACTATTATGTTAAATATTTAGTCATGTGTTGAGTCTAATAGACTTGAAATAATAAAAATAAGTATTGCACAATTAAATCTATTTGTATTAAATTTATCTTCACAAAAAGTAATAAAAATAATAAATGTCTATGCAGATATCTATCATTAATTTTATTTTTTTATCTATATTTTGTTGCTTTAATTTATTATAATTATAAGGATTCCGTTTAATTTATTATAATTATAAGGATTCCGTTTAATTTATTATAATTATAAAAAATCTGTTTAATCTTCATTTCTGAAACTGATTTTTTATTGCTGCAAATATTTAGGTCGCTTATCTAGAAAAATTAAGAAATGATGTTCTTAGAGACAATTGTATAAAGATTCAAAAAAATGTAAAAGGATGGTTAATGTATCGCAAATATCACTGCTTGAAAAAAGCTTCTATTAAAATACAGGCTTGGTTTAGGGGTCGATTGGCTACAAGGTATTTTTTTCATTTTTGTTTTATATTTTTTCATAAATTATATGACTAAGTACTCAATACATTTTATACATACATGCATTCTTACATACATACATGTATGCATACATACATACATACATACACACACATACATACATACATACATACATACATACATACATACATACATACATACATACATACATACATACATACATACCACACTCTATGGTAGTGTTTGCAGAAAAGAGAAAAAAAAAATGCAAATAATAGGAATATAAATAATAATATAAAATAACAAAAATATAAATAAAACCAATAGGCTCAGAATAACAGTAGACTTGAGCCCGACAGTTTTTCCAACTATAATTAAAATGTATTTTTTAGTGTTGTAATCAACTTTGACTATAATTAAAATGTATTTTTTAGTGTTGTTATCGACTTTGACTATAATTAAAATGTATTTTTTAGTGTTGTAATCGACTTTGACTATAATTAAAATGTATTTTTTAGTGTTGTAATCGACTTTTAAAATTAGTAAGTCGACTTTAAAATTAGTCGACTTTAAAAAATTGAATAGTCAATTTAATCAACTGGATCCAATGAAATTTCCACTGATTGGCTAAGAGTTGATTTAGTCTATTAAAAATCTTAAAATCCTTATATCTTTCATTTAATAATAATAGCTATTTTAACTATTATCTAGTTTTTTGTTTTCTCTCTTAAAGTTTTATCTAATTCATAGCATATTAGCATTATTTATACTTAATTAAATTGTGGTTATGTATTTCATTATTTTTTTTTGGCTGTTTCGAGCTGGTTTAGGATAAAATTAAGTTGTGAAGGTCTCAAATCTAAATGTCATTATTCTGGGTGAATAATAAAATGTTATTGCATTTACTAAGCATTTTTAGAGAAGTTGCCCAGCTTTTTGTGAATAAAATTTACAGCAATTTTTCTCAAGTTTTTATTCATGTAAAGCTGAGCAATTACTCAGCGTAAGTTGCTCAGCTTTACATGAATAAAAACTTGAGAAAAATCGTTCAAAATTTTATGAGCAATTACTCTAACAACGCTGAGTAAATGCAATTGCTTTTTTTTATTCACCTGGCCTATTAATCTATACAATCACATTGTAAAAATGATTGTAGTGACTTTTTGATATATAGCAAGTATTTAAGGCAGTCCCTAAATCATTGGGGTCTGGAAATAGATTGTCTTGTTTAGGGCTGCCAATTCAAACTTTTTTTAAAAAGTTCAAACACTTTCGAACTATTGAGGAAAAAAGTTAGAACTTTTTTGAACTTTTTTTAATAGTTTTTTTTAATTTAAAATTGAAAACAAAAGGGTACAGGTAAAACACAAAATTGTTAATTTATTTATAAAGACTTTTTATTTGTTTATAAAAAGTAAATGCAAGGTATCATCCTGCAACCATTTTCTTTTTCTATGTGAAAACAATCCAAGGCTAGAGAGCCCTTTCATGAGATCATACCATTTGAAAATTGTATATTTTAATAAAACTAGTTAAAAATCTAAATTTTAGCTAGAGTCAATTCTTTGTTATAATTTCTAATATTGTTGCCATTTTTGGCTTTTTTATTAATATCGAAATCTCTTTAAGCTGGAATAATTTTTAAATAAGATTAATTTGCAAAATTATCTATATTATTTCTTTTTATTTTGTTCTCAAACTGATTACCTTGATTTAAAACAATTGGATTTAACAAATATTTCATTTTTATGTACTAAATTATTATTTTAATAATTTAATTTTTATCGATGTTATTAAATTTGAGAACCTCTATTTTTTAAGTTTATTTTTAAATGTCTTGTAATAGTGCATTTAAAAATGGATATATTTTTATCATAAAATTTAGGAATTAGATGTGTATCGTTTTTTGACAAATACCGATTGAAATTGAGTATTTAAGATGTTAGTATGTTTTAAAAATAATATACTGTTTAAAATAAATATATTGTCTTATATATTGTTAAAAATATATAACAATATATAAGACAATATATTTATTTTAAAACAATATATATATTTTTAATAAACTTTAGAATACTTAGAAATTAATCTAGTTAAACATTTTTCTTTATCATTTATATTTTTATATTATTTTTTAGTTTTGCAAGAAAAAAATAAATATATATATATATATATATATATATATATATATATATATATATATATATATATATATATATATATATACATATATATATATAAACACACACACACACATAGGTATATTTAAAAAAAAAGGAAAAAAAAAGCAGCCTCCTTAATTGTAGTGACCTCTGCTTTGGAAAGTTTAAAACAGTAAAAATATATATTACCATATAAAGATGTAGATTAAAAGTTATTTTAAATTAATATACTTATTTTAGATTAGTGAATCACATGCGAAGAACAAGAGCTGCTACAAATATTCAGAAAAGGTGGCGTGGATACTTTGCTCGAACAAGTTACACCACAATAAGAAATCAGTTTATCATTATTCAAGCGCATATTCGTGGTTTATTAATTCGCAGAAAATTAAAAGCTTATATTCAATGGAAAAAAAGTATTATAATTCAAAAAAACTGGAGGTATGTATAGGTTGATAGAGATGGATATACACCCACCATTTTTCCTACATAATTCTTTTAATTTTTTTCCCTTTATCAGACATATTTTTACCCATATCAGCCAGTCAACTGAATTTCTTTGAACAATATTTTTTACTTTGTATTGATGGTGTTGATATTAAAAAGAGCTAAAAGAATTCAGTAGCCTCCTCATATTTAGATCTAAATGAAAGTTTCGTTTTGTCTGCACAGCATCTATAATATATATATATATATCTATATACATATATCTATATATATATCTATATATATATCTATATATATATCTATATATATATCTATATATATATCTATATATATATATATATATATATATATATATATATATATATATATATATATATATATATATATATATATATATATATATATATATATATATATATATATGTATATATATATGTATGTATATATATATATATATATATATTTATATATGTATATATATATGTATGTATAGTATATATATATATATATATATATATATATATATATATATATATATATATATATATATATATGCTAATATTGTTATTATTATAATTATTAGCATTTTTACAGAGTGTTAAGTGTCATATATATAGGTTTTTGTGACTACAAAGTAATGGTAAAGTTTCAAATCAAATTAGAAAATAGTAACAATGTCCTTTAAATTCAAATTGAATTTAATGAACATTTAGCTTTTGATGGATTAAATTAAATTTAAATCCATCAAAAAATCACTTAATTAAAAACTAGATTACTATTTAAAAAGAAATGTCTGTTTTATTGGATGCTCTGACTGAGTAGCTTTTTAGAAATCACTAGTAAACAGATATAGGTAGGTACAGATAGATACAGATAACTGTTAACATAAAATTAGCTATATCTCATTTATTTCTTGCATGTAGTGTTTACACAACCAAATAAAATAGGAATTAAAACCTAAAACACATAACAGTAGACTACTTGTATAATATAGAAATGAGATATAATGTAGCATAAGGTTCTTAAGAAGTATAGAAGAAAATCAGTGTTTTTATGTTGAATGGCAAGAATTTTTCCATAAATTGTTAGAAATTAACAATTCTTGGTAGCTAATATTCAAAGAATATATTAACAATACCTAGGTTATTAACAATACCTAGGTTATTTTGTATCGAAAAAATTTAGCATATTAAATATATAAACATATTAAATGAAAACTAGTCATATTTTCATTTAACATTGAAAAGTAAAAGGTGAAAAGTAAATTAAAAAGTGTTTTTTTTGTAATCTCAATATGACAGCTTGTGATTCCTCAAATCACAAATATTCTTTGCATTTTGATCTTAAGTAAAATAAATTTAAAAAAGTAAAATAAATTCAAAAATAAAAAAAGTCATTGGAAATAAAGTAAAAAATAAAATGACACCTTAATAAAAGAAAACAAAAAAGAAACAACAAAAAAGTAAACATAAAAATAATAAAACTTAAAAAATTGTTCTTTTTGTTTTCCATTTTTGAAATTATTATGGATATTTTATTTCTTTTGACTTTGCGTTGAAATGTTTTGTTTATTTATATTTTGGTTTTCTTCAATTTTTTTAATTTTAAATCTTAAATTTTTTTAAATTGATTTTTTTTTTTTTTTTTTTTTTTTTTAACATCTTCACTTCCAACAAGGCTGCAAGCAACCACTATAAGAGTTGGAAGTTACTGGAAGAGAAAAGACTAAATCTGTAGAGCAAGATAACGATTGACTGATGACTTAAAAGATTGCAAATTATATGAATCAGGAAAGCAAGATGAAGGAAGCGAATTCCAAAGAACTGATGTTCGAGGAAAAAAACTAGAAGAATAAGAGTTTTTGAAGCACTTAGGAACAGTCACAGAAAAAGGATGAGACTTAATTGAATGGGGAGTAACACGAGAATGAATTTTAGTAGATGGCACAAGGGACGCTAGCTCTTTAGAGCAGTGCCCATTATAATATTTGTAGAAAAGAGAAAGAGAAGCAACATTACGACGATGTGACAAAGGTTGGAGATTGGCTGCCAGAGCAGGTCCAACTATGTTTACAATTCGTTTTTGCACCTTGTCTAAAAGAGAAAGAGCATCATTAGAAGATCCGCCCCAGATGTGGCAACAGTATTCCATACAGGGACGGATTTGAGATTTATAGAGATAGAGAATAGAATCTGGAGTAAGAAAGTGTCGAGCTCGATAAAGAGATGCAACCTTAGCAGATGCTAATTTTGCAATGGATTTGATATACGGTTTAAAAGAAAGATCAGAAGTAAGAGTTAATCCTAGAAGATGAATGGTAGATGACTCATCTAGTACATTACCATTCATAAATATAGGAAGATCTAAATTATTACGATAACGATTGGCCGAATAAAATTGAGTTTTATCTGAATTAAAGTTCACCAGCCACTGTGAGCCCCATGCTGTAGCAGAAGTGAGATCCTTTTCAAGCTCAGATACCCCCTCCAAGCAATCAGAGAGTGTAGGCTTCTTATCATGACAAGAGTAAATGGTAGTGTCGTCAGCGAATAATGCCACCTTAGATGTGAGAATATCTGGAAGATCGTTAATGTAAATTAAAAAGAGTATAGGGCCAAGGATTGAACCTTGAGGAACCTCTGAAGTTACAGGATGTGAAGAAGAGTGTTGTCCATCAAGGACAACTTTTATACTACGATTGGAAAGAAAGGACTCAATAATCTTAAAGACGTTACCAGCTACACCATAAGAAGAAAGCTTATGGAGAAGACCAGCATGCCAAACTTTATCAAAAGCTTTAGAAATGTCAAGTGCGATAGCCTTAACCTCTCCACCTCTATCTAATGCACGGTAAAACCTATCGGTTATTACTGTTAGCACATCAGCTGTAGAACGAGAAGACCGAAATCCATATTGATGATCAGAAAGTAAGTTATTTGATTCAAGATGAGAGATTAAGTGTTTGTTGATTAAAAATTCAAAAACCTTGCTTATGACAGGAAGAAGACTAATGGGACGGTAGTTAGATGAATCAGATCGCTCTCCGGAATTTTTGAAAATAGGGATAACAGATGCTGCTTTCCAGCATGATGGAAAACAAGACTCTGATAAGCACTTGTTAAATAGTTTAGAAAGTATGGATGAAAGCTCCGGAGAACACCTCTGCAAGACTACAACAGGAATGTTGTCAGGACCACAAGCTGTTGAAGAGTCTAAGCAGGAAATTACTTTAGATACAGTAGCTGAAGTGATGCGAATGTCAAGCAAGGGATCAACCTGTTTGACGGCTATGTCAGGTAAAACGCAACTAGTGGAATCAAGAGATGATATTGATGAAAAGTTCTTAGCAAACAATTCAGCTTTGTCTTTAGGTGAGGTGACAAAGTCTGAACCATACAAGAGAGAAGGAATAACAGATTTGCCCTTATTATTGATACTGTTAAAAATTCTCCAGAAGTCTCGAGAGCCTAATTTTTGTGATGAGATACGAGATTTAATGACCTGGGAATAGCGAGCTTTAACGTCAGACAAAACCTTTTTACAATGGTTTCTGGCGATAGTGAACAGATGTCTGTTTTCTGGAGATTTGTTTTGCTGATAGATATGGAAGTAACGGTTTCGATTAGAAATTGCTGCAGCGCAATGTGAGGAAAACCAAGGAGAAGAGTGAGGCTTGACCTGGAATCGTCGAAAGGGAATAAAAGATTCCATGCCAGCCTGAATCCAAGAAGTTATGTAAGAAGCACATTTGTCAGCAGGAAGACGAAAGATTTCTTCCCAAGGGCCATCACGAAGAAAATCACGGAAAGAGTCCCAGTCAGCTTTAAGGTAGTTGTATGTGGTACGATGATAGGGGGATTCTGATGAAGTAGAAGAATTTGATAATAGTTTTAGAGAGATCAAACTGTGATCAGAAGTACCTAAGGGTGAATGTGGAGAAATTGAGCACTGACTAGGATCCAAAACAAGACATAAGTCGAGTAGAGAAGGTAAATGATTAGGGTTGTCTGGAAAACGAGTTGGAAAGTTGACTATTTGAGTTAGAGATTGAGAAAGGCAAAAGTTGAGGGCCTTAACGCCAGCAGAGTCACTGACACTAGAGCCAAGCCAATCGGTGTGATGGGCATTAAAGTCACCAACAACGACGATATTGGCCGATGGATAAAGAGAGAGGGCTTGGTCAATTTGATCAGAAATAACATCAAGAATAGTGCAATCTTGGGATGAAGGAGAGCGATATAGAACAAAGAGAAAGGCGATAGAGTGAAGTTGTGCTAAACGAAAGCACATAAATGAATAGTCTGTAGATTCAAACCTAGTTTCACGACAAATGGGTGAGTCTTACGAATGTAGATGCCCAGGCCAAGCATGTGATTATTGGAGTCTTTACGAATTAAAGGAAGATAACCATCAACACTAAGATCACAAGATGGGACAGCCGAACTCAAATTAGTCTCACAAAGAGCAAGTAGATCTGGTGAACTTTGCAAGAGATAAGACTCAACAGAAGAAAAGTTACTTCGAAGACCACGAATATTAGTAAATGATAGGTTTAGAGAACTTGGTGATGACAATCGTTTTTTGTGTTTTTTAGTTTTAGGTACTTTAGTCATTTTAAATTTATAAAGAACTTGACTCAAGTATAGATAGTACTCAGTACACTATTTAACAACTAAGCAATAGCCTCATTACTATTAATAAACCCTAAGCCGTAACAAAGGGCTCCAAATGTGGCCTCTGCAATGCACACCAAAAGTACAAACAGGGACACCATCCATGCGCAACATGGCACTGTTAGTACTCTGATATTTTTCGGCTGTTGATGGAATCAGCCTCTCTGAGAGCTACCACAGAGTTCGGGAAACCTGACTACCAGCCGGCCTCAGAACCATAAAACTGAGTTTTAGAGCTGTACCCTCATTAGGAGATAATAGAATGAGTTGCCCAGTCATAAAAATAGAGACACAAGCAATACCCACGCATTGAGTCAAGAAGATCCAGCGTTCAACATCCTAAACTGGAAACAATGTATTAAAAATACATCTGCGCCAGCCTAATAGATGATTTTATATAGGAATAGATGCGATTTTATATAGGAATAGATGCGCCAGCCTAATAAATGATTTTACTTTATAAGTTTTTTTCTTCCAATGTAAACAATTTTCTTTACTTTTTGTTTCCTTTATTATAATGTTTCCTATATTCTTATATCTTATTTTTGTTTTCGAGGTTAAAAAAAACAATGTTTCTTTCATTTGGAATACTTTTTTTTCATTTGCAAAGTGAATTAGATCTTGAATATTATACACCTGTCTTTTCCATGTTGTTTTGGGAACCAGCCCATTAGTTTTGGAAACAAGCCCATTAGTGGCTTAAATGACTATCATATATTTAGAACTTCTAGTCTAATATTGTTAAACCTTTTCAGAAATTTTGTTCTTGTCTTGTCTTCTCCTATTATTTTTGTGACTTTAAGACATTGAGTTTATAGACTTAGGTTTTTAGCATTTATTTTGAAACAAATAAAGCAATACTGTATATTTAATAATGGTAGATTTTATACTTACTTTGGAAAAGTACTTGCATTAAAAAAAGTGAAATTTTATTTTAAAAAGAAAATTTTACATTCTTTTATATCTTGTAAGAGTTTAGAGGTCCCTAACCAATTTCTTCAATTCAATTTCCAATTAACCAATTTCCAATTAACCAATTTCCAATTAACCAATTTCCAATTAACCAATTTCCAATTAACCAATTTCCAATTAACCAATTTCCAATTAACCAATTTCCAATTAACCAATTTCTTCAATTCTTCTTTAATTCCTATTAAAATTTTTGGATGTTGGTGTCTGTTAAAAAAAATTTTATTTTGCTAAAATGTAAAAACCTGATTAATTTTTTTACTGTGCTAAATGTTTTACAAAATCAATATTTTAACCACAAATTAATAATGAAGCCTCTATCTGTTGAAATTCTATCTATAATACATATAGGATGTTCTATCCTATGTTCATCTATAACCTTAGGATGTTCATCTTTTGATCTTGTGAGCAAGATTTTTTTAAAGTCTTTTAATCAGCAAGATCTTTTCATCTTTTAATCAGCAAGATCTTTTTGAATCATTTCTTAAATCTATTAAAATATGACTTAAAAAGTCTTAAAAAGTCTTATAAAATTATTATATTTTCCTAATAAACCTTACCTACTGTAACAGAAAAAATACAATGTTGTTTCTTTTCATACAGGAAAGAATCAATAATGTATTTTCATCTAATGTTAGATGTTTATGTGACAATAAATTTTATAATTTTGGTTTATTCACATTTAGTAAGATATGTTCAGATATTACTTTAAATAATTATAATTAAGAATAAACATAAAATAAACCCCTAAGAAGTTCATTCATAAAAAACCTAAAATTTTTACACAAATTTTTTTACAATTTAAAATACCAATAATTAAATCATAATCACCAGTATTTATTTAAATCCGTACTTATTATTTATTTAAACCTTTATTTTAACCTTTAATTATTTATTATTTATTTAAACCTTTATTTTAACCTTTAATTATTTATTATTTATTTAAACCTTTTTTTTTACTTCTTTTTTTATTCACCAAATTGTTACTTCACATTGGAGGTTTTAGGTTCAACTAAAAAGTAGCAAAACAACTCACAAGATCTATATTGGTTAAAAATTTCACACTATAATGTCAATTTTATATTATTTTACTTCAACATTGATTTTGACACTTTAAAACTTAGTTTAAAAGCAGTGTTGTTACATATTGGTACTACCATCTATTTCTAAACTACCATCAATTTCTGTTGGATAGCATATCCAACAGACATTGATAGTAGTTCATTACCAATATGTAATATATGTTTACACGAAGGAGTCTTTTTTTAACGTAAAGCTTCTTAACTTTATTAACTACAATTACCACTGCCTGATCTGTGGGGATCTAAAAGTAATTGCCATGTTACTGGGAATGCAACTGGGGTACCAAATAGTGGATCCTAAGATAGCTTTGTTACTATCTTTAAATATAAAGTTAGGACTTAAAAATTTTGTAAAACCAATGAACCAAGGTGGTCAGGCTTTTAAGTACCTCAAAAAGAAATTCTCATAGCTGAGTGAGGCCAAAATAAAGTTGTGTTTATTGGTTCACAGGTACTTCTGAAACATGAACATTTGTATCAGATCTTCCAGGGAAGAATGTCTAGAAAATCACTTGTACTTTAGAATTTACATTAAAAAAATAGGAAAAATATTTTATTATAAAAATATTTTATTATAAAAATATTTTATTATAAAAATATTTTATTATAAAAAGATAAAATAATTATCTTTTATATTGTTTTAACTCAATTACTTTTTATTTAAATTTAAAACCTAAAAATTGAACCGGTGAAAAGTACATTTTCTACACTGAAAAAGAACATTATTTGGAGTACCTTGTATACAAAGACATCTTTTGTAAACCAATTGCCTATAAACTGTACAAATAGCGAGTCTGCTCTAACTATTTTCCTACATGACCAACTACCAGTATTTTCTGCTTGCTTATTGTTGATTTAACAATGCAAAACTATTTCCTTTACACTTGTTTACCTTGAGCCTTTTTTATTTCCTTAGGATTTAAATAATTCTTTAAAATAATTTAAAGGATGCTTTAAAAGCACTTTCTACTACGACTACTTGCAACTTGCTAGTAGTTGTAGTGGAAGGTACTTTTAATGTTGCATATTTTTAGTGAAGAAAATGTACTTTTGGTTTAGTTTACAGAGAAGTCAAAAATAGATTGAATTAGTGATGTAAAAATAGATTGTGTTGCAAAGTTTTGTTTATCTTGAAGATTATATATTTTCTATAACTTTAAAAAATTTTAAACATTATTTTGGAAACCTTATTTTATTTAAGACGCAAGAACACTTTGCATTGATGTTATATTATTTGTTTTGTTTATTAATGGTTTTTTCATATTACTTGAATAACAAGAGAATATATAACCCCTAGAAATATTGTATATTACATTAAACAGAATTTTTTAATAAGGATAAGTTTAAATACCATAAATAAATGTTTTAGTTTAATATAACTTATAAGTTTTCTACTTATAAGTTATATTAAAGCGTATATAGATATTCATTTGTTGTCTTTTTTTTGCTGACTTAAAATCCATAAGGATTTAAGTCAGGAAAATAAAGAATAATGAAAGTAATGATTGCTGTCCTAACTCAAACATTAATCAATATAGTGGCACTCACCTGTATATTCCACCTACTTACTGCTAAAATTGATGTCAGCTGAAAAGAAAAGTCTTTTTTTTTACTCTATGAAAAATATTTTTATTAAAATTATATTTTAATAATAATTTATCTTACAATCAATTCTGTGTAATTTTATGTAACATTTAGAAAAATATTTTTGTTTCATGCAGGAGATATTATGCACGAAAGGAATATCTTTCAACAAGGAAAAGCATTATCCTGCTACAGTGTTGTATAAGGCGTATGGCTGCTCGCAAAGAACTTAAAAAGCTTAAGGTAAAAAATTTAATACAAAAATTTTCATATTTATTTAAATAAAAACTAGTCTCAAAAATAAAAAAATATAAAAATAATAAAAAGAATAAATGAATATATAAAAAAACTATTAAATAAATATATTAATTAATTGTAGCTTATTACATGTTATTGAGTTAAAGTATTATTTTTTTTAATTTCTTGGTTGCTAAGATGTTCTAAAAAGACATAATTGTCTTATCAGAGCGTCACAGAAGAACATTTAATGAGTAGTTAACATCTTCTTACTCATGTTGCATATACAGCCAGAGCAGGCACCAGACCTCAAACCTCTTAATTCTGATGCTGTAATTACTTCCTATAACCACTGTTTCACTAACGTCTAACCACTGTCTCACTACTGTCTAACCATTGTCTAATCACTGTTTCACTACTGTCTCACTACTGTCTAACCACTGTCTCACTACTATCTAACCACTGTCTCACTACTGTCTCACTAAATTAAATTCAAAAATGCTTATAAAGTTGTCTACAAATATTTTTGAAGCTGGCTATGAAAATTGCTTGAATCGACTATAAATGATTCTGAAGTTGTTTGTAAGAATTTTTGATTTTGTTTATGAGTTCTTCTGGAATTCACTATGAATATATTTGGACTTTACTTAGAGTATTGATTTATTTTGACTTGAGGTCTAAAAAGAGCTGTAAAAGCATAAAAAAGAACAGGTGGATAAGGTACTTACTACATGTTATGATATAATTGTTTAAATTTGCCCTTTTTCATTTCTTAAAATTCAGTTTCATATATAAATTTAAACCATTAAAAATTGAAATTACTGCAACTTGCTTACATTTAAATCGTCGCTATTCTGTTGTTCTCTGTAAACAAAAAAATATAATTAGTAACTTAAGTCACATTATTTGTAATAACATTCTGACTCATATTCACCTTAAACAATTATTTGTTACCATTTGCTTAGTAAGTTCTAGATCTAGTACAGATCTAGTCTAGATGTTCACTCATAATGTCTTATAAATGTTAGCATAATTTGTTGGTGCAATAGTTTGGAAAGTTATAAAAAATTAACCAAAAAATTAAACTGTTGATATCGATTGCAGGAATGATCAATTGGTATTTTAGAAATAATTTGTTGGTATTAGACATGTTCAATTATTGATCATGATCAATTAATATTGATTCTTAAGTGTTCATAAAAGTTTTCATTATGTTTGTTGACTGTAAAACTAGTTATCAAGTTATCTTAAATGAATTATCAAATTAGTATACACATTGTTAATTATTAAATCAAATTGTTAATAAGTTATTTTTTGTTTGTTTATTATTTTTTGTTAATTATTTTTGTTATCTTCATTTGTTGTTTTAAAGTGAATTTTTACTTCTTTTGTTGCTAAGAGTTTGTTTTTTTTGTTACTGGGTTGTGTCAAATTGATAATCAATAAATATAATTTAGATAGATCTATATGAATATAGTTTATAAATAATAGATGAATTCAACTATGCTAATAATTATTTATTTATACATAATTTATTTAATTATGCTATGAACACTTTAGATTGAAGCACGTTCTGTTGAACATTTAAAAACAGTAAGCAAGGGCATGGAGATTAAGATTATTACATTGCAAGAAAAGCTAAATGCTGAGGTTAGCAGTTTATTAATAGATTTTCAAAGTTTTTTTTATATATGTATATTAATTTTATTTATGTATGTTAATGTTTTCTTATCATTCATATTTTCATTTAGAAAAAAGAAAAAGAATATTTAAAACAAAAGGTTGACAGTCTGATGATTATTGAACAAGAAGCACAAGACTACAAAGAAATTAAATCAATCAAAGAACAGCTGGAAAAATCTTTTAAAAATATAGAAAAAGAAAACAACAGGCTACAAATAGAACTCAATGTTGCTATAGAAACAACAGTTAATTTAACAAAAGACAAAGAAATGCTTATAGCGACAAGTGAAAAGGTTTTAGTTTTGTTAAAATTTTTATTTATTTTTACTTTACATATTTTTACTTAACATATTTTTTGTACTCTTTATTTTTTTAAATATTTAATAATATCTAGTTATTATTCAACGTTTTTTTAGAGGTTTTAAGTTGAAATAATTTTTACTTCATGTTTTTTGAAGCTACTTGTTTCAGTAGGTCAGCATGACATAGAAACCATTGTTTTTTTAATCATGTTTTTTGAAACTACATGTTCCAGTGGCTCAGCATGAGATAGAAACCTTTTTTTTTTACTTCATATTTTTTAAAACTACCAGTAAGTCGGCATAGGATAGAAACCATTGCAAATGGTTCTATCCCATGTCAGGTCTGCCACAAATCAAAGTTTTTTTAATTTAAAAGATAATTACTAAAGATCGGCACATTTTGGCACAGTTGGGTCCATCAATTCCACCACCATTATAGTCGTGCCTGATAACAGTTTTCTTTTCAAATATATAGAAGTTATATAGTTCTATATATTTAATAAACTTGATATAGCTTGAAGAGTTAAGTGGACAAAATTGTTAACTTGCAAATAGTTCTAAATGAGTAATAAGCTAATAACACATTTTCAAATCTGAAATATATACTTGAATGACAATTTTTTTTTAATGTAAATTCACCATAAGGCCACTACAGGCGAGGAGGCTACTTAATTGTGGTTATAATCCTCTCTCAACTCCAAAACACCAACCTTGACTAACAAGGCTGCTGTGCGAAGAAACAAGTTGAGCGCGGCACTACCAGGGACATGATGGGGATCAAACTTGGAACCTCTCACTAATGAAGCGAGCGGTCTACCACACCACATAAAGTGATTAACTCTGTAACAAAGTAGAATTGTTGTTTTAAGTTCATGAATAGATTTATCATCAGTTTAAACCTGTTAAATGATGTGTCCAGTGACAGATTAAGACTTCTTGGGGCCTGGGGCTATTTTTGTTTTTGGAGGCCTTTTTATGGGCCAGAGCCTAAAAATGAATATAAAAAAAAAAAAGGTCCTCTAAAATTTTTTTGGGTCACTAAATTAGGGCTATTCCCCCCCCCCCCCTCTCCCGTTGATCTGGCACTGTGTAAGTCGGATTTTTATTTTTCCAGATAAGACCACTGCTCTTCAATTATGATTCTATTTAAAATAAAGTAATATTTTTTTATTCTACTTTAACCAGGGGATGTTACTGGGAACTTTTTTCGAAAGTATTTTTTTTCAAAACCTCTTTAAGCGCTACTCATAGTATTTTGCAAACTTTCTTGTTAATTGTAGAACAATAACAAAATAACACCTATAAATGTCCAAAGTATCCCTCTAAAAGGAAAATGATTGCTGAAAAAAGTTTGCTTTGCCTTACATAAAACAAAATTTCAAATTTCATCAAAATATATTTATATGCTTAAAAGATATGGCAATATAAAGTTTAGAATATCTTTGTTTTTTGAACATTTTAGAAAAAGGACTCCAAAAAATTAAGTTTTTTATTTGTTTTCAACCATTCTTATCTCATGTCATATATATATATATATATATATATATATATATATATATATATATATATATATATATATATATATATATATATATATATATATATATATGATATATATATATATATATATATATATATATATATATATATATATATATATATATATATATATATATATATTAGGGTGCCTCAAACGCCTCATATATTCAAAATTTGATTTTTCCCTATTCTTAAAACCATCTGTTGGTTCTCACGAGACACTCTGTTTAATTTTTTTTTAAATTGAATGAGATTTAGGGGGGCCACATTAAATCTAAAACTTGCAACGAGACCCTAAACAATGGAAAAAAAAGTTTTTCAAATGTATGTCATGTTGGGTCTCAAAAGAAGCGAAACTTTATAAAAATTTCAAAAATAGTTATGATTTTTTGTTAAAAATATCTTGAAAAAAAATTTCAACCAAAAACCATGAAAAAAAGTCTTTTTTTAAATTTTTGCTAAAAAATAATAATTTTTATGCAATCAAACTTATAACAATAAATATTATGTAAAATTTTTATTGTTTTTGAAATTTTTTTATAAAATTTCGCTTCTTTTGAGACCCAACATGACATATATTTGAAAAACTTTTTTTTTAGGGTCACGTCGCAAGTTTCAGATTTGAGGTGGCCCCCCTAAATCTCATTCAAATTTGAAAAAATTTAACAGAGTATCTTGTGAGTACCGATAGAAAGTTTTAAGAATAGGGACAGATCAATTTTTGAAAGTATGGGGCGTTTGATGCACCCTAATATATATATATATATATATATATATATATATATATATATATATATATATATATATATATATATATATATATATATATATATATATATATATATGTATATATATGTATATAAAAATATATAAATATATGTATATAAATATATATATGCATATATATATGCATATATATATGTGTGTATATATATATATATATATATATATATATATATATATATATATATATATATATATATATATATATATGTATATATATGTATATAAAAATATATAAATATATGTATATAAATATATATATGCATATATATATGCATATATATATGTGTGTATATATATATATATATATATATATATATATATATATATATATGTATATATATGTATATATATATATATAGAAGCCCCCGCAGCAGGCTATTTCAGTATGATGTCATCATGCTAACCTAACTCAGCAGTATATGGTATATACACACTTACTAAAGCGTATTTTTATAAGCATTTGCTCACTTTTTTTGCTTACCTTAATCTATACGGCTTTTTTAGAAAAAGAAGAAAAAAAACGAAGAATGATGAATGAAATGATTGCTACCCCATCCCAAACCCTCAGTCGATGTAGCAGCACTCCACTGAGAGTCAGGCTATTTGTCAGTCGATGCATGTACTAAAGCCCCCAGCAGTAGGCTATTTCAGTATGATGTCAGATTGCTTACTTTAGTACGCAATACTATTTGTATATATATATATATAAATAAATATATAGAAATAATATTATATATAAAAAATATTCTTGAAAAAAAACTGTTATCAGGCATGACTATAATGGTGTGGATTTAATGGACCCAACTTTGTTAAAATGTGCTGATCTTTGGCAGATGCCATGTGATTTGTTAATTAAAACAAAATTGCCCTAAAAAATGCCACCAGTATTCCCTGGTCGAAAGAAATTAACTTTTGAAAAAAAATTTTATCATAGATATTATCACAACTTATAATAAAATTTTCTCCATCTCCATCTTTTTCAAAATCCATCAAAATTCATTTTAATGAAGTTTGAAAAAGCTACATAAAGCAGCTTTATAAAGTTTAAAATCCCTTCATTTTTTAAATATTTTACACTCTTCAAAAAAAGATCAAAAAATAAAAAAATGGTTTCAATGGTTTCTATCTTATGTCAACCTAACGGAACAATTCACTTAAAAATATATATATAAATATTGGATAGGTGGTTTAAAAAAATATAAAATGAAAATATTTTTTTTAATTTGAAAACCTTTAAAAAAGAGAAATGGATTTAATCAATTTCATTTAACAGGAAGTTAAAGAACTAAAATTATCTATTGAAGATTTGATGAAAACATTAGAAATAGAAAAATCAAAGTGTGAAGCACAATCTTTAGACCATAAGTGTAAGTAATTTTTATAAACGTTTATAAACATAAGTTTAAGTAATTTTTATAAAGTTTTATAAACATAAGTGTAAGTAATTTTGTAAACTTTTATAAACGTAAGTGTAAGTAATTTTTATAAACTTTTAAACAATTGATCAAAAGTAATTATTAAGTTGTATTTTAGCAAAAGTTTATCAAAAGTTAAATTTTATAATTAAGTTACAAATTAACTAAATACTTATAAAAAGCATAAAAGTTCTTAAATACCCTGATTTAAGGGCCCCTGTCAGTAGACCCCAAATGACCTTATTTTAGCCAGTAGCATTATTTTATCACTATCTGAAGTCAATTTTTTTATTACCTCCTCTAATTATCAATGTGATAATTTTGCTGTTGGTTAATACAATGTCTGGGATTATTACAATGGGTTTCAAAATACTTGTTTTTAAATATACATTAGTAATAATAATATAATACATTTACTTTTTCTACTAGCTTTAAGTAAATTATGTTGATTATACAAGTAGTAAAAAATATATATTTATACTATAGTGTAAATATCTGAAACCCTCACAGTTTTCTAAATTAGTATAACGTCAAATTATGGATCTAAATATGCTTTTATTTTTGTGTGTATATATACACACAATTTATTTTCTTTAAAAAAAGAAAATAAATTGTTTTGAAAAAATAATAAATCATTTTAAGATTTTCAAAATTTAACATTAATGCTGAGCAAAAATATCAAAGTATTTTTTAAAATTATGTATTCTCAACAATACTCACAATATTGGTACTTGCAAATTTAAAAAGAAAACTATTTAGCAATTAAAGATGTTTTTACCTGGAAAAAGGCAGTCTCAGTGAACCCCTGACTACTAGTATTCCTGTAAGTATATCACGTTATAATTAGGTATATACATGTTTGAACTTTTTATGTAAGTATTTTATACTTAGTCGTTGAGAAAGAGTTCTTTAAAAATAAATAGATTTATAAAAATAGATAGATTTAAAAATATTTATATAGTTTGGTTGTATTTTTAAATTAATTTATAAAATTATTTAAAAACTCAATTAAATTTAAAAATTAGATTTATTTATATAGTATGTAGTTTATTTTTTTAACTATATCATATTAACTTTATGTTATTATGTTTTATTACTATTTACTATTTTTTTAATCATTTTTCAAATTTATCTTTGAAAAATGCTGATTATAAATTAGGAAAAATGTTTTTCAATTTTTTAAGTGCATCTTCAGCAATGTCTTGATGAGCAACGCAAGCAAATGGAAGCAGAATTTTCAGTTGAACGAGCAAGTCATCAAAAGATGTTAGGTGACTTTGCTCGTCTTGAGCAGCGATTCATGAATCTTCAAGAAGAACAAATTATTGAAAAAAGTCCTGAAAAAAGACAGAAAAGATCTTTTGCAGATTCTGGTAAATACTTCATACAGTTGTAATACTGTTTGTTTTAAATTAAATACTTTATATAGTTCATTTTTATTAATTATTATTACTTTTTTCTATTATTAATTATTACTATAATTTTTTTTTTGTTTCATTTTTATAAAACTATTTTAATTTTACTTTTTTTTACTTTTCCTTTAATATTCTCATTTATTTTTTACAATTTTAGAATTTTTTATGTAAGAATAATATATTTTTTGTTTAGATAAAAACTTGCTTACTGGCGTTAATGATGAAAAACTAAATAATCTTGTTGATGAGTTATCTGAAGTTCTAAGAGAAAGAGACATGTTGCTAGAACAAGTTGAACTACTAAAAGATGAGCAAAAAGTCAATTTAAATATCTCAAAAGATTCAGAATATAATGCTACAAATAAACAACTTTTGAATGAAAATAATCTGTTAAAAAATGAAAATGAACAGATGAAACAGCAGTTGATAGTAATGACAAATGCTGTTGAAAATGATGACAAGTTGGCAAAAGATGGCATGGTACCCAATCTATTAAAGCAAATCAAAGAGCTAAGAGAAGAAAATACAGTTTTAAGAAAAAAGCTTGACAAATTTCTTGCAAATCAAGTATTATTTGAATAATGTTTTTTTATTATTAAAAAAATTTAAAATTTGAGTAATTAAAATTATTTGTACTTTTAATTAGATGGTTGGGAATGTTACCAATAACAACAATATGTCAGACTTGGCAGAAAAAGAGATATCACGTCTCACTGTTGAAAATCTTGTGAGTATATAAAAATGTGTTAAAAACTTTTTTATTTTTTAAAAATATCTCATGTAAATATCTCATGTAATTTTTTGCATTTAGCATTTACATGAAGAAATTGAAAAGTTTGAGGCTCAATTAAAAGCTCTTTCTTCTCAAAATTCAAGGAACACCTTAACAAACAAAGGGGAACTTCAACATGGTATTTTATAGAATATTTATTATAGTTGTTGTTCTTAAAACTTATTTTATTATAATAGTTAACAATATTATGTGACTACAAACTATGTTTATAGTCACATAATATTGTTTTTGATGTAAATAATATTTTTAAGGCATTGTACCAAGAAGTAAATCTAATGTATCAGATCTCAGGAGGCATAGATCTACAACAACAATAGAAAACAGAATTGCTGATGGAAGTCTTTCTGAAGCTGCAAAGCTGGTTAGTGTGCTTTTTCAGTTATAAGTACATATACACACAATAAATACACAGAGAGTAATTTGATAATTTTCACTTCTTTCAAAATAACATCCTAAGATCTTTTTTATATTAAGGAAAATATAAAAAGGTAGTAGGAAGGGTTATATATGTATAGTGGATAAGGCATAATTCTGCCACACTGAGCGTTTTATAAATGTTTGTGTATAAACATACATACATACATACATACACAACCCTCGAAACTAGGGTCGGCATTCGGCAATGCCGACCTGAAAGTGTTTAAGATCGGTAAAAAATTGCCGACCTTGCTTCTATGTTTTATGATCATGTCTTTGTATCAAATAATTTTTGCCGACCTGATGCCGACCTCAAAAAGATTGAGATCGGCAATAATTTGCCGACTTATTTTTCCTAATTTCGAGGGTTGCATACATACATACATACATACATACATACATATGTTCTCAAGTTAGTATTAACCTCTCAATCTGAAGTATAATGGCAATAATAATAAATGTTTTTTTGTTAATATCTCAATAAATAAGTTGTTTTGGTAATTTTCATAAACTCAAAACTTATTTTCTAATGTTTATTTACAAAATAAACATATCTTGTCTAGTGCAATAGTGCAATAGTAGTACAATAGGCAATAGTAATAGGGAATTCTTTTCAGAATGTACCCAAAATAGTTATTGCAATTTGTGCAAATAATATTTAATACACCATTTTGAATATTTTTAAGTAGCTTCTTTTCAGTTTTAGACAAGTTTTTGATAAATTATTTCCATTCAGAAAACATGTTTTCAATAGGAATAAAAAAGCAAGAGAAGGTAAAAACTTCAAAGAATGCACATACAATCTCATCTTGAACAACAGCAGCTTTATGGAAACAAAGATTTAAAATTCATTTGCAATGAATTCAACAATTTCATTAACAGCTAATTGTGCAAATACTAGGCAAATAAAATACAAATAACTTTCTGTATTGAGCGCTTTTGTTTGTGCTTCATTCAAAATTCCATTTTAGTTCATTACACAACATAAGGAAATATTTCTTGACAACTGGTTGTATTGGTCACTGTTTGTGTGGCCCTCTTTCCAGCTAAAGAAAATCCGCTTCTTATTCTAATTAAAAGACTTAAGCCTACTTGTAATATTAAAGTATCATTCATAGAAGACAAAATGTTCACGAATCTTTTTGCACTCTTTCATCAAAAACAACTTTGGAATTTCTTTCTGGAATATTTTTGAACACATTTTAAAATATAATTAAAACTTTCAATGCATCTTGCAGTAGTAGAACGACTAACTGAAATGAACAACTTTAGTCGACTACAGCAAATGCATTGAAACTTTACTTGTGCTAATTTCCAGCCTAATCACATGTTTAGTTAAACAATAACAAAAGCAAAAACTATAGTAAAATCTAAATGGCTGCCAAACAAAAAAACCTGCTAAAAATAGCTGATTTTAAAGTAACAATATCTTCAAAACTCATTTGATATCAGCGCTAAAATTTTGCAAGGTAGTCTATGTTATATAGGTGACCATTTTTACAAAGTATGAAGAAAATCTGAGATGGTGGGTTACACGTCTGTCCCACTTCCTCATGGAATACCTTCTAACTGAAATGAATTATTGTTTGATTTTATCTAGAGTTATTCCACAATTAACATTTATTCAATTTTTGATTAGTATCTTGGATTTGGTGGTTAATTTTTTGCTTCTAGAACCACCTTTTAATTGCCATTTTGTCTGCAAATTATTTTTATATTTTTCAATAATTGAATAGGCTGTAATTTGTTTAAATTAAAATTTGTGATAGGGAATTTTTATTTAAATAAGATTCAATCATCCTTGAATGGTTTTCATTGTTGATTGTTTAATTCAACATGCTGTTTATAAATATTTGAAAATATTTATAAATAGCAATGTTTAAAAGTTAAATTAAATTAAACAATGTTTTAATTTTTTACTATGAACACTAATTGTAATATTTTGGATAATAGGAATATTTTTATTTTCTAGATAAAAAAATTTGACATTAGTTTGTTGACATTTCATTATTAAAAATGTATTTTATATCCTAATAATAATGTTTAATTATATTTTGTTTTGAAAAAAATAATTAGTCTGGTTAATAAAAATAATTAATATGGCAGTTAAAATCAATCATTATGGTAACTTGAAATAATTAATATCCACATGATTTATTTTATGCATTCTCAAAATTTTATTATTGAAACCACATTTATAATTTCAGTGTCGTTTTTAAATTTTTTAGAATTAGAAAAATAGCCACATTAATTATTTTATTGGCCTGATTAAATACAACCCATTATTATTTAACAAAAATTTTTATCATAGATACCTAAATTATTATTCAAAATATAGTTTTTAAATTGTCAAAATTTGATGCAACAGTGTCAAAATTTAATGAAACAGTATCGAAATGAGGTGGGAAACCTTGTATTAAGAAACAAAAAGCTTTAAATCTATTTGCAAAAAAAATTCTTTTAAACAAAAGCACTTTTTTCAAATGTTTTTTGTTTATTTTTACATATTATAATCTATGATAGAGTGACTTAATAGAGTAGATGATTCAAAAAAAAATTCTTTTTTGATAAATATTGCAAAACTAAATTTTACATTCTACATTTTACTAACTGTTTTACATTCCTTCAAAACCAAATTAAATTTTTTTATTATTATTAAAAGACTTTAGATTGAAAAGTCTTTTAATAAAAAAAAATTATATAAAATAATCAGTTTCTTTAACAAATAAATTCACAGTTGCTGTTATTTTTTTTATGATCTATTATTTTATAAATAAACCTAACATAAACGATATTAAAAAATAATTTAAAAGTTCCACGATAAAAAAAGTTTTCACTAAAATCAAAATTGCTGAATGCGTACCCAAAGCGACACTTCAAACATAAAATCCAAGCTGTGTAAGGCTTCTTAACAAGTCCTGTACTTACACATACATACATACATACAAACATACATACATTCATACATACATACATACATACATACATACATACATACATACATACATACATACATACATACATACATACATACATACATTTTGGAATACTTAGTATTCCATGAAATCATTGATATAAATATTTTCATGCAAGGGTTTTGGTTTGGACATGTGCAATCTAGTTATGAAGAATTTATATATGTGTGTGTGTGCGTGTGTGTGTGTGTGTGTATATATATATATATATATATATATATATATATATATATATATATATATATATATATATATATATATATATATATATATATATATATATATATATATGTATATATATATGTATGTATGTATGTATGTTTATTCATATATTTATGTATTTTTTTTAGTGTGTAACATATGCTGGATTGACTAGAAAAAAAACTGGTACTTTAGTACAAGTAAGACTTTTAATCTTAATTTATTTTGAATCATTCTGGAAAGTTCTATTTGCTTGTGTTTCAAAGTTCAATCTTTCTCAAAGGTTTTGATGATTACATTGTATAACATGTGAGGAGCCAATGTAGTATTAATTCAACTTTTTTGAACAGTTTTTAAACTTTGCTGTTAGGTTATTTTATAATACCAATACCAAGTAACATTTATGGATTTTAGAAAATAAGTAGAAATAAAACCGAGATCACCTCACTTCTTTATACAATTTCTATGATTTGCTTTGTGATGGTTTTTGAGTTAATTCCTTTCATTTTTTTCATGACTAATGTATCTTTTATGTCACTTGTATTGAGGCACCAATGAAAAGCACCAAAAGATTTACATGTCATTTAGTCTTTTTATTGTCTTGATTCTTTTATAAATTTTATTACCCCCACAAATATCTGGATTGTCTTTAGGTGGAATATTTATGAACTGTTTAAATGCAAAATAAGTAGTAAATATTACGTTTTTAATTTAAAATTTTTTAAGTGTTTTTGATGATTTTTTGTTGAAAATTGAAAGAAATTTTATTTGATACATTGATATTTTTTATTCTAATTGTCTGAAATCCAAGATCTTGAACTTTCGAGTATGCATTTATTATATTAAAGTAATTCAATTATGCTGTTATGGTATTATGACATTATTAATAGATGTTTTGGGTTCAAAAGTGTTTAAAGCAGAAAAAATAACTATTCAGTCCTAGGCTTTGATGGCTTGGGTGTCTTGATAATTGACTAACTTAGTTTATGGCTTAATAATTAACTAACTTAGTTTATGGTATGTGAAAATTGTGAAAAAAGTGATTAAAAAATTACTCAAAATGCACTTTGACAACTGACAAGAGGCAAGTAGTTTTTAATTGCACCTGGAAAATAATTTACTAATGTTTTTAGAAATTAACTAATTACAATTGTAATTATAATTTTAACCAATGACAATGTATTTTTTGTTAAATATTATGAAAATAGTTAAAATTTAGTTTAAATTAACATAGCAGTCTCTATCTATTTAAAAGCAGTCGTCTCACTTGTTTAATGCAGTCATTACAAAGTGGTTAAATTCTAATGTTATATTTTGAAAAGTAAAACAAACCCAAAAGCGACAAATGATTTTATTTTTCTCTTTTTGTCTGATCCACTGACTAAAACTAACTTTATGAAATATATTTTTAAGTTTTAAAAAAAATTATGAAATATATTTTTAAGTATGTTGACAGACTTCAACACAATATTTCAATTAGAAATATAATTTTACAAAAGTCTTTCGAAAAAGTTTCGAAAGTCTTTCAATAGACTTGTTTCAAAATTTGGCAAGTAACATGGTTAATGAATCAAAACCAAAATGATGTCACAACAACCAATACCTGTCATGTATATTTGGCAAAGCACATATGTCAAAATATTTACCTCTGGCAAGTGTATATGTAAGTAAATTGGTTTTCCTATTAGAGAAATGTTACTTAATTTATGTCAGGACATGATGCAGCTTTTCACAAACGCAGTGCAATTTGGCCTAGCTACAGTCCGAGGGATCTAAGTTTGTTAAAAACAGATGCCTTTGGCATTGAACCTGAGTTAAAAATATATTCAAGAAATCATATTTCTTGAATATATTTTTGCAATTGTGGGTTTTAATAATATCTGTTTTTTTTTTAAGTTCTACTATAAAGTATTTGTTTATGAAAATTATTAAATAGTATTTTTTTTATTTTCTTGATTTAGTCTAGTACACCCCCACAACCTGTAAGAGCTGTTCAAGGAATGTTAAATGTCAAAGGTGAATACCAGGAGAAAGTAATCAATAAACTTATAACTGAACTTCATCCTTCTCAAGTTGATAAGGAAGTTCCAGGTTTTCCAGCTCACCTCTTGTTTATGGGTATACGATATATTGACCATAATAGCGAAGAACGTCTTATGCAGAGTTATTTAACTGCTGTTATCTCTGGAATTAAAAAGAAAGTTTTGGTATTTATATTTTATTTATTGCATTTGTTTATATAGTTATGTGTGTGTGTATATATATATATATATATATATATATATATATATATATATATATATATATATATATATATATATATATATATATATATATATATATATATATATATTTAGATGCATACTAATACATATACACACACACAGACACACATATATATTTGTGATGTATCGGAATTGCATTTCGGCCGGAATTTCAGCCGGAATTTGTGACTTTTAGGTCATTCCAGTTCCAGCCGGAATTATAATATTTCAGGCCGGAGTGCTGAAATTTATTTTTTACTTTATTTATTTAAAACATGTGACTGTAAATTAAATTAAAAAAGTTATTATGCTACTGGGCAATGAAGAACTATGGGTAAACCTAGGTAAAAATTACATAATTCCTAACAAATACAATGTAATTTTAGGTAAAGCTACAGTTTAGCGCTCTTAAATAATTTTATTTTTTCACTTGTTGCGCTCTCGTTAATGGAGAGTTTTTAAATATTAGAAATTTAATTGAAGTAATAAAAGAAAAAAGATTGCTGCCCTATGCCAAATCCTCAGTCAATGTAGCAGCACTTCCTTGTAGAAGCAGGCTATAAGATAGTTGATGTAGTAACACTCCTTTGTAGCAGCAGGCTATAAAATAATGGATGTAGCAGCACTCTCTTGTAGCAGCAGGCTATAATATAGTTGATGCATGTACTAAAGCCAATAAATATTCTTTATTATAAAATAAAATTATTTTAGAACTCATATCTATAGCCTTATATATATTATTGCAAATCATATATATATATATATATATATATATATATATATATATATATATGTATATATATATATATATATATATATATATATATATATATGTATATATATATATATATATATATATATATATATATATATATATATATATATATATATTATAATCTGGATATCTGAATATCTGTTTATCTGGATTATCCGTTTTATTTTGACTATTTGAAAACCAAATGATTTTCATTATCTGTCAATCCAGATATTTTTTGATAAATTAAAATAATTTTATTCAGTTCTTGCGCTCTATAAAAAAAACGTTCTTTTTTTTAGCTTCCTATAAAATTTTTAGGAAGTTCATATAAAATATGATAAATATTTATTTTAAAAAACAAATAAAACAAAAGAAATATTATTTTTCAAAAAAAATAATCCTACAATGATGTCATTTTTAGCACTGAATCTTTTTGGAATTAAACGCATTTCAATAAATTATAAAGTCTGTAGGTTGGGGCGTATATTTTAAAGACTTAAAAACATATGCTAACATGGAGACGGTGAGTTTTGAGTAAAACTGCAAAGTTAGTTTTTCTTGGCATACGTATATAATTTTGTTTTACTCAAAAAAATTCAGCCCAAACATTTTTTTTAAACATTCTCTTTAATATGAACACAATTTGTCTCAGCACAAATGGGATTCATTTAAATCTATCTTGTGTCTTGATATAAAAAAAAATTATTTGATTGTAGTCTGGTTTTTCAATGTTTAATAAAGTTTTTACTTGAATTCTCTATAGATATTCAGCATGACATTTTCAAAATAACTCTAGTTCTTTTTACAAAGTAAATTTAGTAAATACAGTTAACTAATATAACTAACTTACTAATAAGTAACTTTAACTAACTTTAAGTAAGATGCTGATTATTAGAATATTAGCATTATGATTAATGATTTAAAAAAAATTAGATGGTAAAGATCTATGAAGAAGGTGGAGGTGCAATAGAATATCGTTTATATCACAGATTAAAACAGCTTGACCGAGTAATAAATGTTTTTTTTTTTAAAATCAAGTTTAATCAAGTTTTAAATTATTAAAAACAAAATAAAAAGCTAAGTTATCAATAACATTTAGTTTGGTTTAAGGTCTGTAAAAGTTTGAAAAAGATTTTTGGAAAAGAAAAAAGAACTGCGTGTGACAATTGTTGATCTAAAGAAAACTTTTGACAGAGTACCAAGAGAGATGACCTGGTGGGCTTGGTGGTATTTAGGCGTTGAAGAATGGATGGTAGCAATTATCATTGCTATGTATAAAACTGTCACAGTTTTAAGAAAAAAGAGATTAATAGCTTTGAGGTAAAAGTTTTTAAGGTTCAGTTCCCAGTCTTTTGATTTTCATTATTGTCTTGGAAGCTCTCTAAAGAGTTCCATGGGAGCTGTTGATGATTTTCTTTTGAGAGCAGATGGTTTGTGTCTAATTCTAAAGAAAGAATTAATACTAACAGTTCAGTGTTGAAACAATGGAATGGAAGCAAATAGGCTTAGAAATAAACATGTAACTGTGATATTGTGTTATTGTGATATTGTGTTATTATATTTGTATTATGTATATTGTGTTCCTTTATATTTTAGATAATATAATAATAACCTTACTACTAACTTGCGTGTGTTAGTCTTAATCATGTATTATTGTTACAACAGTTACTGTCTACAACATTATAAGTTTTGTTACTGTCTATAATAGTAAAAAAAGTTATAAAGGTTGAGAATGAGAAAGTGAAAAAAAGGTGCAATATTAAAGACTAAAAGAGAGATACACACCACATATTCCTGAAGTGTTATGATGGATGGCAGTAAAATAAAGACAATAAAGCTTGACATTTCAATTGACTGAGGTTTGGAGAATAGAAAATAATGATGATCAGATAGATGTGTAGTGTGAGTCTAAAAAATAAAAAAAGAAGCAAAATATTTTTAGTATAAGTTTGAATCTGATTGAGTACATCAAATGCAAATGAATAGGTATTAGTATGTTAAGATAAAAGCTTCAGCTGAGATAAAATTTAGTGGGTGGAAGTTTTAGCAGTATTTATTATTTTATTATTAGTATCTTTAATATAATATAAATTTAACTATCAAACAAAATAATACCTAAAAAAAGATGTCTTCCTTATTCCCTAATAAATCAATATATTGACATTAAGATTAATATATACATTAAAAGCATTTATGTTTTCCTTAAATTTTTTTGTACTTAAAAACATATCCAAATCTTTCAGTTGCAATTTTATGAGTGACTTAAAAGTTTATTCATGATTTGTCAACATGTGATTTTGAAGTTTGGAAATGCTTTTCTTCTGTTAACTCTCGATGTAAAATAATGATTTTAGTTAACAATATGTTATCTTCTGTGTTTGGATTCTAATAACCATTTGATACTCTTGATCTAAAGATAACAGATTCCATTTTTTTAGGGTAGGTCTTGTGTGAACCTTTTTGGGACCATTATTCAGTAGAGCTTTCTTTTGTTGACATTTAAGTTGCATATTTTTTTGGATTTATTGTTTCTCCAGATTACAACACCATTAAATGGCTTCTAATCAACACCATACACCATTAAATGGCTTCTAATCAACAACACCATACACCATTAAATGGCTTCTAATCAACAACACCATACACTATTAAATGGCTTCTAATCAACAACACCATACACCATTAAATGGTTTCTAATCAACAACACCATACACCATTAAATGGCTTCTAATCAACAACACCATACACCATTAAATGGCTTCTAATCAACAACACCATACACCATTAAATGGCTTCTAATCAACAACACCATACACCATTAAATGGCTTCTAATCAACAACACCATACACCATTAAATGGCTTCTAATCAAAGCATTGTATAAAATAACTTTAGAGTTACACAACAATAGTAAAGTTATAAAATGTATACTTTTTAAATGTCATGTTAATGTTTACTTTATTGGAGCAAAAGTGCTATAAAATATGTATAAATATATTCTTTATAATTTTTATAACACTTTTGTTTCAATAATGTAAATTTAAATATTTTAAAACTTTTAACTCAGAATTATATATTTTCCTATAATTTATTAATCACACATCTTTATACATGTCCTTGTGAAAAAGTAAAAAAATGCCACCATTTAAATCTGTGACTCAAATAATATACGGTTCATTTCTGCAATTTAAGGTTACGAATTTTCACTGTATTACAAATATGTATAATATCCTCTAAATGTACAAATTGTTGTAAAATTGTGTTAAAAGGCCATAATTAATGGAAAACTACAGACTTTTTTTACAATGTTAATATAAATAAGGATTTAAATATTACTATAAGAATCTTATATATAACTATATAACTATATAACTCATGCATATATAGCATAAGCCTGTTATAAGTCACAAACATTCCAAGTTTAAGCAATTTATTTAATTTTATTTTATCTACTATTTCACTAACCTCATTTTAATTGCTTTTTTTTTAAATTATATTAAAAGATATAATAAACAGATATAAATCTTATATAAATACAGTTCTAAACCTTAAAGATTAAAAATTCTAAACTGTATACACTTCTAAACTTTAGTGTAAACCTTAGTTTATGTTAAAAACATAGTCACTATGTTTTTCTATCAAGCAATAAGAACTACCACATCTATATTTAGTACATAGTGATAATAAATTTCCTACATAGTTTTTATAGATTTCTTTGTTTTAAGTTTATAAAAAAATTTATTCAATTATATTAAAGAAGATAAAAGAAGTTTTTTATCTTAAAATAAAGATTTTACATTTATGTTTTTTCATCAAGTATATACATCTGTACCTCGGAGGTATATGATATCATCTCCATTTTTCCCAAAATGACATTTTTTATTACAAAAGTTGCGTATTAAAATCTTTTTATTTAAGGGTATACAACATTATCTCCAAATTAGTATCAATAGTAGTCATGAAAAATAAAAACCACTTTACAACATTACCTGGACATATTTGGACACTACTGTAAAATTGATAAAATGGAGATGATGTCATATACCTCCGAGGTACATATATATATATATATATATATATATATATATATATATATATATATATATATATATATATATATATATATATATATATATATATATATATATATATATATATATATATATATATATATATATATATATATATATACTCAGTTAATTTCTGGTAAGTCAAATACAGGTTAACTCTAGTTTTTGTTATCTCAAACTATTTCATTTGGCTCCTTGAAATCATCTAGTTATTACTATTAAAATTCTCTAGTTAAGTTGAACATCTGATAACTCAACCTTTGTTAAGTTGAACATCTGATAACTCAAACTTAAGTTGAACCAAGTGAAGTTAAGTTTTTTGTTCTTTTTCAGCAAATTTTTCATTTCATCAATTTCTTCTGAAACTTTCTGTATGGGAAATAAAAAAATCAAAATAATTTTTTTTTTTTTTTTTTTTTAATTTTTTTAAGACATTCCATATAAAAAATAATAATTTTTTCATTGTATATAGATTTTAATAGAATAGATTGTTTCACTTAAAATAATAATAAAATATAATAATATAAACTATTATAAAATAAATCATAGTAATACACTATTAAAAAATAAGTTATTTTATAGTTTTAATAGATTTTTTAATAAAAGACTGCTTTTAAAAGATAAAAAAGTAAAACTACATCTAAAATTTTAGACAATTTTATTACCGTAAAAAAGTCATTGTATCGTTAAACTTTTTTGAATTATATTTTTTGAGTCTACAGCATGAATACAATACATAATTTCTTTTATTGAAACATTTTTCAGAGTTTTATTATTGTGTATTTAATGTTTATACTTTAGCATTAAATTAAAAATAAATCGCTTTAACTCAAATTAATAGTTCATATTAGCCTAAGTTTGACTTAATGGGAATTCACTTTAGTTGAACATTCATTAAGTTTCCTTGATCTCTTAAGTTAACTAATTTATGGAAATTAGTTGTATATTTATATTTATATATATATATATATATATATATCTGTGTGTATTTACATTTTAATGTTATATACATTACTATAAATTTATTTTTATGTTCACTTATCTTTAGTATAAGTATGAACAACTGATTATATTTGTACATTTTTTGAATACAGAAACATTCTACAGACATTGAAGTGCAATCATTTTGGCTGAACAATACCTTCCGCCTATGCTGTAATATGAAACAGTATAGTGGAGAACCAGTAGGTGCTTTTAAGTTATTAACTTTTAGAATTCAGTAAAAATATATAAATACATAAAAAAGAAATTAAAAGAAATTAATACTAATGATATGGTTTAATTACAGCAATTTCAAAATGTGAATTCACGAGAGCAAAATAAACACTGTTTGAAAAACTTTGATTTATCTGAATACAGACAAGTTCTGAGCGATACTTGTATAAAAATTTATCAAGACATGGTCTATAATATTCAGCAAAGAATTACGAATCTTATCGGTGAGTTATTGAGAACATACTTTTTTTAAATTATAAGTTTAATTTCTTATATCTATTCCTAAAAAAATGTTTTTTGTGCTGTTTTTTTTGTTTTGTTTTTAAAGAATTTTTATTAAATCTGTTATTTTTACATTTAAAAAAAAAAATTTTAATTTTTTTAAATCTTAGTCTAATTTAGTTAATTTCTTAATATATAATAAAATTAACATCTTTAATATATTATATATTGTAATTACATCATTAATTAATTTCTTCAAGAAATTTTTAACATTTTTGTTTCACTTTAGTCCCTGGAATGTTAGAGTACGAATCAATTCCCGGAGTTGTTTCAACTTTGCGAAAGTTTAAATCTGACAAAAAAATTCAAGAAGAAATTGTTACTGTTAAAGACATCACAAACAAAGTAAAAATGTTTCTAGAGATCGATTATACGGTTTATGCTTACATTTTTTATAGTTTTTATTGGCAAATCAATAACAAAACATGTTTTTCAGAGAATCCTCCTTAAAACTTTTACATAAACAGTACTAAACTTTGTATTTATTCATCTAAGTATGAATACTTTTCAGTTATAAGTCCACACTTAGTTAATCTGGAAAATGAAAAATTCTTATTCACAGATTAAGGTTTTTCATTTCTTGTAAGTCTTTTGACTCTTGGTGTATAACTTTATTTGTATTTGTAAAGTATATTATAATGAAAAAAAAAAGTCTTTAGTACATAGTTAAAGTTACAAAAAATTCTCTTTATGAACTCAAGACATTGTGCAACCCTTAATCCACTATGTCTTGAGTTCAAATCCTTGTTTCTTCTTTATGGTTTTTTGCTCATGATTTATTATTTTATCTTTTAATGGTTTCTTGTTAATGATTTATTATTTTTGTCTTTTAATGGTTTCTTGTTAATGATTTATTCTTTTTGTCTTTTAATGGTTTCTTGCTCATGATTTATTATTTTATCTTTTAATGGTTTCTTGATAATGATTTATTCTTTTTGTCTTTTAATGGTTTTTGTTAATGATTTATTCTTTTTGTCTTTAAATGGTTTCTTGTTAATGATTTATTCTTTTTGTCTTTTAATGGTTTCTTGTTAATGATTTATTCTTTTTGTCTTTTAATGGTTTTTTGTTAATGATTTATTCTTTTTGTCTTTTAATGGTTTCTTGTTCATGATTTATTCTTTTATCTTTAATGGTTTCTTGTTAATGATTTTTTTTTTCTTTTAGTTAACTGCTATACTTGCCGTTTTAAATGCACACTGTGTGCATCCAACTTTAATTAAGCAAATATTTACTCAGGTATTTTTTTTTTTTTTTAATGACTCATTTTTATTTGACAAAATTTCTATATTTTATTTATTAACATTTTTTTTAATTTTTTAACATTATTAGCGCACTGCAAGAAATATTTTTTGTTATTATTTGACAGGTAGTGACAAACCTTTCTTACAGTGTGGCCAATAATAACAATTTTTTGCTGAGTGTTGGTATTAATAAACAACTTTTGCAATATTGTTCCAATATTTAATGTTTGCTTTTTTTGGGGGAGAGGGGTCCTGATCAGCCTAAATAATACTTTTTTTTTTTTTGAAAAAATGGTTTATATATATATATATATATATATATATATATATATATATATATATATATATATATATATATATATATATATAATTTTTTTTTTTTTTTCTGATTCACTCCTAACAATACTGCCAGCAACCACTGTTAAGTTGGGAGTTACTAGAAAATAGAAAGAATAAAGTTATATTGCAAGGAAACAGTTGACAGAATACTTAAAAAGTTGTAGGTTGTATAAGTCAGTAAAACATGAAGATGGGAAAGAGTTCCAAAAGGTTGAAGTACTGGGAAAAAAACTAGACAAGTAAAAGTTTTTTAGAGCATTCAGGGACAGATACAGTAAATGAATGAGACTTTTTGTCAAGACAGAAGTATAAAGTTGAGTCATCAACAACAAGAGATACTTTAGATGTTGGTAAGATCATTAATGTAGATAAGAAACAAAACAAGACCAAGGATAGAACCTTTAGGTACTCCAGAAGTTACTGGAAAAGAAGAAGAGTATTGCCCTTCGAAGATGACTTTAATAAAGCGGTTAGAAAGAAACAATTTGATAATCTCAAAATCTTTCCCAGATACACCATATAATGCAAGCTTCTGGAGAAGACCAGTATGCCAAACTTTGTTGAAAACTTTAGATATGTCAAGAGCAATAACCCTAGCCTCACCTCCTCCATCTAATGCACAATAAAAATTTTCAGTCACAACAGTTAGCAAGTAAGCCGTATAGCAAGAGAATTAAAAACAATATTGATTGTCTGACAGTAAGTTATTTGAGTTAAAATGAGAAATTTGTTGACCAAAGACTCAATCATTTTGCTAATAACAGAAAGAAGATTGATCGGATGATAATTAGAGGAGTCAGAATATTTTGTAGAGTTTTTGATAACTGGAACAACAAATATCATTTTCCAGCAAGTAGGAAACAAAACTCAGTCAAGTACTTGTTTAATAGTTTAGAGTGAGTTGAAGAGAGTTCTGGAGAACAATTTTTTAAGACTGAGAGAAATATTTTCTGGATCACAAGCCATAGAAAAGTTTAATTGAAATATAACTTTAGCAACAGAAGTTTGAGTGGTTTGAATGTCTAACAATGGGTAAATTTATTTAATTGGAATAGATAGAAGAGAATGATCATAAGATTCAAGAGTAAAATCAGAAGAAAATTTTCTTGCAAATAGCCCTTGCTTATCCTTGGTAGTGTTAATAAGATCAGTCCCATGAATGAGAGATGGAATGTTAGATCTTGTTAATGAATGTTAGATCGACCCTTGTTAAAGGTAAAGATTTTCCAAAAGTCTCTAGAGCCTAGCTATGGATTTTATAATGACTATGTATATGTTTCTATAACTTCTGAGATAAAATATGAGTGAACTGAGAATAACAGAGTTTAGCATGAGATAATTAATATGCAGAACAACCTAATGGAGAAAAGGGGTCAGAGACAAGACATAAGTTAAGAAGGTAAATAATAGGGTCATGATAGGAAGGAAAATGAGTCACAAAGTCAAAGCCATGCAGTGTGATGAGCGTTAAAGTCACCAATAACAACAATATTGGTAGAGGGGTAAAGAGAGAGGGCATGGTCGATTTGATCAAAAATTAAATTTAAAAGAGTGCAGTTTTGGGAAGAAATCGAATGATAAAAAACAAAGAGAAAGGTGATAAAGAGGTGCTAAGCGGAAACATGAAAGAATGGTTAAAGGATTCAAACCTAATTTTACAACAAGTAGGTGAATTGATGCTTGTGTATACCCCCAAGCCTAGCATGTGACTATTGAAGTGTTTGCGAATTCCAAGAGGTAAGATTCAACTGATAAAAGATTGCTTTGCGGAACACAGATATTTGTAAAAGATGTATCAAAAAAAATAGGTAGTGGGAATGGTATTTTATGTTTAATATTTTGGCTTACTTTTGGCATGATTTAAGTTTTTAGGGTATTTGACTCATTCATAGATAAAGCATGGCATCCTAAGTAATAAGCTATGCAGTTGTCTCAGTCCTGTTAATTAAGTAAATTAAGTCATAACATAATGTTTCTTATGCGGCCACAACAATGCATACAAAAATCATTAACAGCGGCACCATCCATAAGTAACATGGCACTGTTAATACTCTGATATTTTGCAACTGTTGATGGAATCAGCCTCTCTGAAAGCTACCATAGAGTTCGGAAAACCTTACTGCCAGCCAGTCTCAGAACCATTAAACTGAGTTTTAAAACTGTACCCTCATTAGGAGATAACAGGAAGAGTTGTATAGCCACTTACAAGGAGGCACTAGCAAAAATTATGAAAAGAGTCAAGAAGATCCAGCATTCATCATCCTGTGTTACATTTTTTCCTGAAAACAATTTAACAAGGTTTACATATAAACCAACCTAATAGATGAAGAAGGAGTTTGAGGCCCTTAAGTCTTTGTCTATTAGGCCTTCTACAAGACAGCTGGATGCAGTTAACATCTGCTCAAGAAAAGTATTTGTATTGAGACACAATCTCTAGCCTTAATTTAATCAAGAGCCCCAAGCCACAGGGTTTTAGCTGGTTGTAGTTAACATCAGCCTAAGATGAATATTTTTATTGAGACACCATCTCTAGTTTTTACTCAACAAAGAGCCCTAAGTCAGGGGATTATTAAGTTGTAGTTTGTTTCTCCTAGATTTTGACTTAAATAGTATACTCTAAAATGCATTAGAAAAAACATTACATCCAACAAAATACTTGAGATTAAAGAGAGCATAGGTTTTATAGTTGGTTACTCACACACTGCAACAGAGAACACAAACATATATAAAGTAACTTATGAGTGAATGAACACTGCGCCAGAGGTTTAGACATAACACAAACATGCATAAAGGAACTAACCAGTAAGTGAATACCGCATCAGAGTTTCAGATAGAACACAAACATAAATATATAGTAAGTTACAGGTGATCTGACAGAATAACTAAGACACCTCCAACTATATAAAAGAATATATATATATATATATAGATATAGATATAGATATACACCACATTAGAGGTTCAGACAGAACTCAAACACACATAAAGTAACTTACAGGTGAGTGAACACCGCTCCAAAGGTTCAGACAAAACACAAATACACAGATAGCAACTTACAGGAGAGTCAAAACTGCCAGAAACAGAGCACAAATGTACATATAAAGTAATTTACAGGTGAGCTAACACAGTAACAAAGGCACCGCCAACTATATAAAAGACACACACAAAAAATAAATTTAAATAAAAAAGTGTATATATATATATATATATAGCCCTCAGAATTAGAAAAAATGAGGTCAGCAATAAATTTTCGACCTTAAACAGCAGGGCATGAAACAGGTTACACTGGGTTAAATGTTACCAGTAGCAGGGTGATCATGACTACCATACACCTGACCTGACACTCTATTAACTCATTAAAGCTGCAAGCAATCACCATAAAGTTGAGAGTTACCAAAAGACAAAGAATAGTGTTAAAGTGCAAAACGATTGGCAAAGGACATGAAAAGTTGTTGGTTGTATGATTTAAGAAAACATGTAGATGGGAGAGAACTTCAAAGCGTTGATGTGCAAGGAAATAAACAAGATGAAAGAAAGCTTTAATGGCATGAAGAGACAGATACAGTAAAAGGATGACTTTGCTGAATAACAAGTTAAGCAAGAATGAGTTTTGGCTGATAAAACTAGTAATGGTAGCAGTAAATAACTGAGATTTGTTGGAGTTAAAATTCACTAGCCAAAAATATACCTTTTATTTACATAGAAATTATTTACAAAAGTGTGCAAAGATTTTTTTCTTCTCATAGAGAAAAATATAACATACAAGGCCTGAGTTTCATTTCCTAAGTTCTTTAGAAAATTGTTTCAGATGATAGGATATCATTGCAATATTTAATCCAAAAAAATCATTTTTTTGAAATTTAATTTTAAGTATATAAAATTATATTTATTTATCAATAATAAAAAATTACTTTTATTAATGATAAATAATTATTTGTTATCAATAATAAAAAAATTTTTATAATTGATTTAAAAAAAACCTTGTTGCTAGTATTTTGTTTGTTTTATTTGTAACAACTTCCAATGATGTTGTTGTTTCTTGTATAATATTTCTTTTCTACCATTATGTTATATAAAGTTAAAAACTGTTTGACGAACACGCACAAAAAATTTAAACTTTTTTCTAGAATTTTTGATAAATTTCAACTTTTGTTTTGATAAAAGTTTTGAACTAAGTTCAAAACTTTTATCATTTATTTTTGAGAATTAAATGCTTAATTTTCAGTTTAGTATTTAATAAATCACATTCAGTTTTCTTTTGCTTAAGAGCTTTTTAGTGCCTTTTATCCCAAACATGTTCTAAAATTTTAATAAAAACAACATTTTAACAATAAAATAATTTCAGTTTTTTTTTAAAAGGTTTTATACCTTTGAGCTTATTTTAAAATAAAATGCTTCAATATCTAAAAGAAAGGATATCAAAAGGCATCCATCCAAAGATTGGCATCCAATACTTCAGCAAGACAGCCTAAACCTACTGCAAAGTTATTAATAGTGTTTATTATTTTTAAAAAAGCTCTCAAATAGTCACTGCAAAATTTTAACTTGAACCCCATTTGTAAATTGTCAGTTAGTAGATAAAAAAAATTAAAAATAAATATGATTTGTTTAAATCAATTAAGCTCTAAAAAAACATATACCTATATTTGCGTTTTAAGTTTGTGGATTTCACACTTCAGGAATGTTAACCTGTTAGTGATTTTAAATCAATAACAGGTTGGTTTTAAATCAACAACAGATTGCAATCCTCCTATTTATTTATTTTTAAAGTTAAATTTAAATATTCTATTTAGATTTTTTTCTGTTTGTTATTTGTTTTTTTAAAAAAAAAAAGATTTTAAATTCCAAACTTTTGAACTGTAATTTTGAATTTTGTTAAATTTAAAATATTAACTTGCTAACTTGAACTTTCCAAACAGATCTCACTTTCGACACTTGTCATCTTTATAAAAAACCATTTTTATTACAGAGCTTTCTAAATTAAATTTATAAAAAAATACATTAATTATATCAAGGCCACAAAAAAATAAATATAGATTGGTTTGTGGTATGCCACCTTAAGTCTTTCTACTGTTAAAATTTCTACTGTAAATTTCCTACATAAACTAAGTTGTAATACTCATGTAAAACAACATTCTGGAAAGAAATTTTGAAACAAAGTTTATTATTTTGTAAATGTTATGTTGACCTTATTTTTGTTTTAAATATAAAAATTATTAAAAATTAATTTTTTATTTTTAAATGTAGATTTACTACTTTATAAACGCTACAATGATTAACAATGTGCTTTTGCGAAAAGATATGTGTCATTGGTCAAGAGGACTGCAAATTAGGTTGGTAACTTTTTTTTTTTTTTTTTTGGTTTTTCAAAAACAGTTCAACTCAATTTTTAAATGTATAAATTATCGAAAGGTTTAATGTGACGCAATTAGAAGAATGGTGTCGAACTAATCAGCTGCATGAGAGTGATCTTCTTAAACAATTAGAACCAATCACAGAAGTTGTACAAATTTTGCAAGTCAACAAAAAGTCAGTTGAAGATGCTGATGGAATAATTGCTATTGTTAAATCACTTAATGCACTTCAGGTAATTTATGACAAAAAATTGGGCCTTTTTTAGGTCAAACATTTTAATTTATGTTGTTTATAATTATTGATTGCTTATTATGTTTGTTTGTTACAATAGTTATAATTTTTTTAATAAATATATATTTATAAATTTCAATTTAAGTGATCCTATTCCTAACATATCTTTATTATTTTGTTTCCAAACAACATGCTTAGTTTTCTTAGGTAAAAACTTTTTAAATGTTCGAAATTCACAATAGTCAAATTTCAGTCAGAATTTCTTTAAATACAGTAGTTTGCAAATTAATGTGAACAAGTGGAAAGAAAATTTTATTTTGTGTTTGCAACACTGCATAGTCACATACAATGGAATATTGCATTTGGTGGCCATTTTACTTAGTTGTGGGGACTATTAGCAAGCGTTTGGTTGCTATGGTTGTTTTTGAATTCAAAAAAACACAAACAAATCACAATGTTTTTTCACATTGGATATCACTCCACAAAAACGAAAAAAGATTATCACCTTAAGTGAACATACTTTGAGTCAATGGAAGATTGCAGAAGATGTGGTTAGTTTGGCGGCTGTAAACATAATCATCAATTAGAAACAGGAAACTAAATCTATTGCTATACAAAGAATAGGAAAATGTGGCATAAAAAAAACATTAAAATGAGATGAAGCATATTTGATTTGAATGTCTAGAAAAAAAAATCTAAGAATGACAAGTTTTTACCTGCAAAGAGATTTGAATGCCAACAGAGTGAAGATTCACGACTCTACAGTGAGAAAAAAACTTATTGAATCTGGAAGAGAAGCAATTAAATCACAGAAGAAGCAGTTGTTGACAGAAAATATGAAGAACAATAGATATACTTGGGCCAAAAAATACACTAATTGGATAGTAGATGAATTGAAAAAAGTTTTGTTTTCTGACGAGGCTCACTTTATAGTTCAAGGACAGCAGTCACGTTAGGTAACAAATAATGAACTGTACAAACAAATAATAGACTGTACAAACAAATAATGAACTGTACAAACAAATAATGGACTGTACAAGCAAATAATGGACTTTACAAAAAGTATGATAGAGGCAATGATTCAGGTGTGGTTTCAAGACAAAAAAATTAAAGAAAAATGTAAAAAAGTTATAGAATCTATGCCAAGAAGAATATCCAAAGTAATAAAAAATAAGGTGTGGATGCTCACATTATTAAATAATTATATTAATTAATAAATTTTCATTTATAATAAAATGTGTTTATTTGTTTAAAAGTTTTTTTTGTTTTGCGAGCCTATTTTGCAAGTTCATAAAATATGTTCATACTATCATAAATATCAACTGCTTTAAAGTCTTGTAGTAATTTTAAAATTTTTAAAACTGTTAATTAGTGTAATAAATGCTATTAGAGGTTTGGGATTCAAAGAGTAAATAAGTAAGATAAAAATCAATACATAAGTATGATAAAAAATTAATACATTGGTAATAAACTAAGAACTGTATGTTTATCTAAAATTTCAAAGTTCAATGCACTTTATTGCCATGACTTAATATCTTAAATAATTGAATATGTTTCAATTTAATAAAAAATTTGATGCTCTATTTAAATCACAGTAGTTTTTTTTTACAGCTTTTAAAATGGCAGTAAAAAAATAGTAGGCATTCACATCTCACCAGAAGCATGAAAATTTGCCACTGTGGCTACTTATACGAAATAATGATAAGCCTTAACATTCTAGAAGTATGTTAAAGCTTCCATTATGTTCAAATGTATTTCTAATATTTGTAACAAACACAAAGCTGTATGATAACTTTTCCTCTCCTGAATTCTGACCAAGCCTATTTTAATTAATTCCATTTGAAACCTTATATTGTTATTATCCTTCTTTTTACCAAGGTTTTCACGCAAGTTAGTGCAAAGAATCTTCGTTTTTCATTTGGACAAGCTCAACGCGTTTGAGTATTCAATTATGACATCAAAGAATAACTTTTTAATGGATAGATTTTGTATTTTTCTGCCAACAATAATATTGAGTGTGTTTCCAAAAGTTTTAAGAGAAAAATATTTTGCCACATTTAATAATTTTTCTCTTTGTTTTATTTTTAAAAAAAAAAGGAAAAAAAATCTTTAAATATCTTGTTTTTGTGGGAAAAATACTCGTTTTTAGATTGAAAGTTACAAAATGAATTTTAAGGATTATTTTTTATTTAAATTTAAAGTTCAAACACCTGATGCTATTTGTTCAGTACATACATGTCCAAGTTTATTCTGATTGGTTAATAAGATTGTTAGCAGCTTTGTTTTTGCTGCAAAATTAATACATTCTTTAATTCTATAATTAGCCAACTGTTCTAATTTACACAATTAATACTCCTAACTTTACAGATTATAATATTAACGTTTACAACACCATTAACATTGAGCATAATATATGGAATTAACGTTTACAACACCATTAACATTGAGCTTAATATATGGAATTAACTATATAAAAGACTGTTCATATCATTGCCCTATCTAAATATAAAAATGCTATTTAATTTATCTAAAAAAGTAAAAGTAAATTAAAGTTTGAAATAAAAAAGTTTCACTCTCAAACTTTTATATTACTTTTTCTAGAGATTTTTTTTTTCCACTTTTTTTTTCCACTAAATTTGCCACTTAAAAATAATCTTAGGACATAAAATATTCTTTTTATGAAATTAAAATATTCTTTTTATGAGATAAATTTTTATGAGATTATATTTTTGAAAGTGTTGTTATCTGATGCATATTAAACAACAATGCTCACTTTATCTGATGCATTTTAAATCAGTTCCATTTGTGTTTGGTAGATAAGTACCTTGTGTTCCATTTTCAGTTCCATTTGTGTTTGATAGATAAGTACCTTTTCTTTTTTCGGAATGGTCCTCAATTAATTATTATTTAATAGGTTCCGGTTTTTTCTCCCCCATATATAATATAATATATTATATAAATACTTTTTATAGATATTTATGTTATGTTAGAATGATAACTCTTAACCAAAACCAAGTTCTATTAATAAGTTAGAATTCTATAAATAACGTAGAGCTTCACCAGGCATTGACACATTGACAATATCATAAGTCATCTTTTGTAGGGTATGTCATGTTTTATCCCAAAGTCTTTGTCTTATTCGTATTCTTATTTATTTTTTCCATTTTTTTTCCATTTTTTTTTTATTTTTGTTTGTTTTTTATATTTGTAGGTGTTATTTACTAATTTGTAACTATATAAGTGATTCCTAAGGGGGCCATCCATAAAGTACGTACGCTGTAAAACCACTGATTTAGGGCCCCCTTTTTCCTCCTCCTCTCTACGTACGCATTTTTATTACAAAATCAACCCACCTTGACTGCACTCATACATTCTTTAAAAAGATGATTTCATAATCACTTTGTCCCAATTTAAAATCCTTTTTTTTTTTTTTTTTTACACAGGTGCAAAAAATACTCACGATGTACACTCCGCCAAATGAATACGAACCTCGTGTACCATCCAGCCTGATCAAAGCCGTCATGAATAAAATGAAAAAAGAAGACAACGCTTGTATTATGTTTGATCTTAAGTACATAAATCCAATGACAGTGCCATTTATACCATCAACCGTAGTATTTGATAAATTAGAAATACCTGAATCTTTGGAATTGGCACCAGTTACTATTATATAAATTTTTTTTTTTTTGCAATAAATATAGATAGAGTTAATTATGTTAGTTATTCGAATAATATCGAAAATTAAATAAAAAAAAACTATATTTTTTTCAGTTTCAATATATATATATTTTTTTTAGTTTAGTTTTTTAGTTTTCTTTATTAAATAGAACCTAGTTTTTTTAAGTATAAATATTATTTTTAAAGCTTTTTTTTTTTTTTTACATTTAAATAAATAAATTAGAAAAAAACCTTAATTTTTTTTTCTGTTGGATTTGTCTTCCAGATTGTAGAACTTTTATAACTAATTTATATATATATATATATAGATATTTTTTTAAATTTTTTTGTTGTGAAGGAAAGCTGCTTTTTAAAAAGATAAAGAAATCTATAAATCTAAAATATAAGTTTGATTTACAAATTATTTTTTAATAAAGCTTCTTCACTCGTAAATACGTATTCAAATTATTATATTTTGTGTTTTTTAAGTATAATAGTAAACCCTGTTTATTTTATATATTTGTAAATTCGAAGTATAGTTTACGCGTGTAATTTATTTGATACGTCATATTCGTTGAGTTAGTAGTTATTCATAATGTCTGTGGCTTATTCCTTATTTTGTTAATGATTTTTTTTTTTTTTTATTCGTTGCTTTTTTTATTGTTTTCAATTTATAAACAATAAATTAATAAATAAATATAAATCACAATAAATCGATTATTGTGAGAAATTTTATTTCACGCTGAATGAAACAATTAGAAATTTCTTGTTATTTTCAAGAGATTTAAAATTATTAAAATTTAAAAACAACATTTGAAACAAGTTTCAACTTGTTTGAAATGTTGATTTTGCTATTGTCATCTCTGTGAAATTCGAGCTTTTTTTTCTTAATGTTTACATTTTGTAAAACCCTCTAGACCTAAAAAAGTGTTGAGGGGGGTATGCTTTGTTAATTTAAAAAAGTGTATGCTTTGCTAATTCAAAAAAGTGATGAAGGGGTATGCTTTGTTAATTTAAAAAAGTGTTGAGGGGGTATGCTTTGTTAATTTAAAAAAGTGTATGCTTTGCTAATTCAAAAAAGTGTTGAGGGGGGTATGCTTTGTTCATTTAAAAAGTGTTGAGGGGGGTATGCTTTGTTCATTTAAAAAAGTGTTGAGGGTATGCTTTGTTAATTTAACCGCTACATATTCAACATAAAGTTCATCAATTATAATAAGAATTTTTTTTATTATTATTTGAAAACAATTCTCAACATGTGCAAAATATTTGTTTAGGAAATTGATACCTTTTAACTTAAGAGATTAAAATAATAGGTTTGTTTTCGTAATTTTTAGATTAATACAGTTAGATCACAAAATTATCTTCAAATTTCAAACAATTTTTTACAAGAGGAAGAGGAAACTTTAAATTAAAACAATTTTCTCACAATTGTTTTTTTTTTTTTTTAACTTGCACTCATAACTTTACAACAAAATAATACCAGCAAATGTAGAACTTAATACATTAAATAATCATTTCACCTAAGGGGAAAAAAAAGCACTAAAATACTACATACTTAATAATATCGACATGTGTTAAATTGTAAAATAAAAGTAAAACAACATGATTTATGTCTTTGTAGACGACTAACTATATTTACTTATAGAAAACTGTTTACTAAAATATTTATGCGTATCACCAGTGACGGAATTATTTACTAAAATATTTATGCGTATCACCAGTGACGGAAACAGGATTTTTTGGTTATTGAGATAGCTAACGTACAGACATGGAACAAACTCCAAACATTTATATGTTTATACTTATGTCAAATAATAAGACAAAAAATTGCGGTGAATGGAAGCTGAGAACTAAAAAGCCCTTGGATTTTTCTCCCCTTCCACCCACACACAGACTTATATTCATCAATAAATTCAAGTTTCATAGTATTATCTCTCAGCGTTCAAAAATTATGACCATATAAAGTTTAAACCCCCCTCAATTTAAGGGGGTTACAAATTTTAAATGGTCATAATTTTTGAACGCTGAGAGAAAATACTATGAAACTTTAAATTTATCGACGAATATAAGTCTAATTGAGAATAAAAAGAAACAAAGGATCTGTGGTTCAAACCCACATCTGGACAATTTTGTGACATTGGTTAGGAAGATTTAAAAAGATAAAAAATTAAATGCCCATCTGCGGTGCTCTGTGATAAGACCGTAAGGACTTCTTGGGCACCTAAATTTAAAAAAAAAAGTTTGTTTTTCATAATAAAATTTCGAAATTTATATTGGCCGTAGCACCAGGATTGCTAATTCAAATCCCGGCTCCGCCTACTCAGCGTATGAGTAGTACTTCGGTACAAAGGGAACTCGTCTCGATTAGCTCTGCTATTACGATGTTTCCTTTTCGACTAGTAAATAAATCATCTAGTCGAGTAAATGAAAATTAAATTAAAATAATTAACAACTTACATCTCATAAAAAAAAGTTTATAATGGAAAAACAGTCCTAAATATTCAAATTACACCATTTTAAAAAATACATTAACTTTCCTACATGCACAATGACGGCAAACGCAAAATTAGTGGGGTTTTAACAACTTAACCTGCACTTGACAAATTAATAATAATATAGACATAAGTGATAATATATTATAATTCTATCGTTTTTATATTTCAGGAACATGTTGATCTTACTAATCTTATTTACTTCTTATTTAATTTTATATGATGCTTTAATTTTTAATGATATAAAACTTCTTAGTCCCGATAAGGGGTCGTCCATAAAGTACGTACGCTTTTTTTTCGTACCCTCCCCCCCCCCCCCCCCCGCATTTTGCAATACGCTTTTTTGAGTACCCTCCACCTTTCTAAAAGTACCTACGCTTTTAACCTATTTATCTAACATTTTATGATATTTTTTTTTAATTTAGTGTCTCCTTTCTTTTATAACTGACCCACTGTCCTCCCATCTCATTTAAGCCACTTGCAAACCCCTCTTCCCCGCCGAGCCTACGTACTTTATGGACGATCCCTAAGCACTAGACATGTTTAATGCATTTAATGTTTTTACACGTGCTGAACACGTTTTGTGCTTACTGGGATGTTGTTCTTTAGTTCTATTTCGTTTACTTAAGTGTCTGGAAATGGGATTATTTTTAACTTTCAATATTATATAAATATTATACCTGTGTATAAATCCATTCTAAATTGTGCTGCACAAAACATTATGAAGTTTTTTTGTATTCATCATTAAAATAAAATTAATTCCAGACGGTTTATAATTTGTTTTGAGCAAATTTGAAATCTTTTTGAAATTTGATATTGTTGGCGGCTTAACATACAAAAAAGCATCAGGTGTTCACGGGGTGCAAGCTGATACTTTATGTATAACATTGAAACATATAGCTCAAAACTCATAGCTTTTATAAATATGGAAGAATTTAACATATGTTTTTATTTTTGCTGCTGGGAAATCAGATTACTTTCAAAAACTAACATCTCGAAAAAATGATTAGGGTTGAAAAAAAACTGACAAAAACTTATTTTAACGATTAAGGTGGAAATTAAGATTTTCTTATTAATGTTGAAAAGTATTTTTTCCGTAATTCACAAATGTAGATCATGATCAAAAACAAAATATATCAGCTTTACAATACAAACAATAAAAACCACTTTCACAGAAAACTTTATCGAAAACAATAAATACGGAATAAATTCGAAAAATGTTTACTTACATCGACCGAAAAAAGGGGTAAAACAAACGAGGAGTGCTGCTACATCGACTGAGGGTTTAGTTTGGGCAGACAGTCCATCAATCATTATTTAATTTTCAACTATTTCAATATTAGTCATTTTCTGCTAAATTCAAACTCTTTTGAGTTATTTCAATCTTATGCTGCTTATAGAATTTTCAATACTATTCCTTTTTTCACAATTTCGGATTTTAAATATTCTCTATTTCGATATTATTCCGGAAAGTCATTTTTAAATGAATTAAGTTTGGCTGTTTTCGATAATGTTACTACTACCCTGGCTGCTTGTGATTTTACGTTTGATATCTAGAACCTACTTGTTTTAGGAAAGTCAGTTTTAAGAATTAAAAAAAGAATTGTTTCTAAACTTTACAATAATAATGCTTGAAAAGTAGGCTCTTTATCTTTTTAAAACGTTATAATGCTTTGTGCCAGTGACAATGAAAAGAGAGAAGTTTGCTTTATTCAAAACTTTATAAGCACAATCATTGATGAACGAGGAAGACTTTGATGAGACTAAACTCAGGGCTTTTCGTGTAAAGGTCTAATTATTGTCACTGACAATAATTAGACCTTTAAATAATTAATAATTAGAATAATTAGAATAATTAGATAATTAAAAGAAATTTTGTTTTTATACTTCTCTTTTACCGATTTAAGTCCAGACATCATCTAGACAATTTTTAATCATGTTAACAAAAGTTGCGTCAATTACTGTTTGCGGCAGGGTATTTCACTGGGATACAAAACGGTTTTAAATGAATTTCTTTCTCTGCATGCAGCCCAGTACTCGTTGCTGCGCCATTTGTTGATTATGACCCCGCATAATGTACTTTGATGATGATTGGCACTTTGGTACGAGGAAGTTTATTTCATCAATTTTGTTCATGTATTTAAAAATCTGAATAAAATCTTTTTCTGCTCTGTGTTGTGAGGACATAGCTCTCTGCATAACGGATTCGAGTGTTGTGAGGACATAGCTCTCTGCATAACGGATTCGAGTGTTGTGAGGACATAGCTCTCTGCATAACGGATTCGAGTGTTGTGAGGACATAGCTCTCTGCATAACGGATTCGAGTGTTGTGAGGACATAGCTCTCTGCATAACGGATTCGAGTGTTGTGAGGACATAGCTCTCTGCATAACGGATTCGAGTGTTGTGAGGACATAGCTCTCTGCATAACGGATTCGAGTGTTGTGAGGACATAGCTCTCTGCATAACGGATTTCCTCAAAATGTTTTAAGCAAATTCACCCTTTTAAAAAACAGTTATTCATATATCAATCTTATTTACGGGATGGTATCAGTAAGGTCCATTTGTAGCTTTAATACTTAAAGCACTAAAACTAAAACCTCTCTTTATAAGAATGAACGTCACACTATATTCGTACGTTTAAATTTTATGTAGACCACATTTAGAAAATATTTTTAATTCATATGCCTATCACTCTTTTTTATTAGATGGCGTTGGTGCGGTCCATGTTTGGCTATAATTTTTATTAGATGGCGTTGGTGCGGTCCATGTTTGGCTATAATGCTTATAACAAGTGTATTGAAAATTACTTTATTTCTACAATAACCCTTAGTAATTGAGTTTATGACCTAGACTTAGATTGATGGTGGAAAATGATAGTGGAAAATGATGGTGGAATTGATGGTGAAAATAATAGTTGAAATCATTTTATAAAATGAGTCTTAGCAATATTAACATGATAAAGAAAATCGATCTTTATATATAAACATTTATCGGTCGACGAAAAATTTAAAAATTACACCAAACTTTAACAACTTGAGGCTTATTTATTTTAAATATTTTTTCAAAAAATTCTTTTTTTAGGAACTGTTCCTAAAAAGTTCTTAAGCCTTAAGAGCACTTGGGAGTTTGAAGACTAATCACACTAAGTTTGTTACTGATGTTAAATCAAGCAAAGAAGAGTTCAACAACATAATAAGGCGTAATAGGAGCTTCTTTAATTGTGGCAAAAAGCTCTTAACTTATCTGAAGGAACAAATTAACCTGTAAAGCTAAACATCCAGATCCCGTTTTTTTACATCAGCTTTTTAGAAATGTAAAAAATTTTTGTAGTAACCAGTTAAAAAGTATTAAGATTAATATATGGATTAAAAATCCGGCGTATTTTAAGCTATTGGATTTTTTGAAGCTTTAATACTTTTCCGTTGTGTTGTTTAAACATTTTTTATCAAACGAATTTTTTGATTGTAAAATATATTTAAAAGTATAATGTTATAAAAACACATCTAATGTTTGTGTTGTGCAGAAGAAACCATATTCATTTTAATACTTTTACGTTTTTAGTAACATTATTTATTAATAATTCGTTTTAAAAGAAAATATTTTTTATAGAGCTTGCTAATCAAAGGTGTTTTTTTTTAAATCAAAATCTTTAAAATTGAATTTGAAAAAACTAAATTATGGTGCTACAAGAGACCTTAACGGTTTTATCACGGAGCACCGCGAACGAACATTTAACCAGAGAGTTCACACCTCTTTTTTTACCAAAAAATAAGGCCGGAACCGGCATTGAACCTCGAATTTCTTAGTTCTAAGCCAGAACACTAATCACTTCATTTAGATGTGAGGTTTAAACCAAGGATCCTTTGTTTCTGAGGCAAGTACGCTACCACTGCGACACGGTTGCTAATTTAAAAGGTTGAGTTAAAAGTAGAAAATTCTACTTTTAACTCAGTAGTAGTAATTTACAACTATTGAGTTAAAAGTCTTAAAAAGTTATGTTAAGTTAAAAAAAACCAACTTGTAAAGGGTCATCTTATCTTGCGATAAAAGGTGTGCAATCAAAAAAAAAAAAAGAAAAAAAAAGCGCAACCGTTGGCAATATTTTGAATGTAAATGTAGTTGCTATAACTTATTTAATATAGTAAATATAGTAAAGTCAAAGTAAATATATATAATTAAAGTTGCTTTACAATCACTTTGTGTATTGCAAACTACTTAAATCAAATTATTAGGCAAAGTTTCAAGTCTTTTGACAGCGGCGCTTTCAAACTGTCAAGAATAACATGAAAAGTCAAAAAAGTCTAACAATTTAATTAGCCATTACATAAATGACAGCAGTTTGAAGTTATGTCGCGTCTTGAAGGTGCAATCCAGTATGTATAAGGTTAAAAGAAATTATTTGCGCGTCGAAGACCCGATGAACGCGTAAACTTCAACATTATAGTACAGTATTGCGGTAACTGAGGCAAGAAAGTGGAAATAAACTTGCAAATAAAAATGTATAAAAAATAAATATAAGTTGTATTTATATTATTTTTTTATACAATCTTATTACTGCACCATTGAACGGCATAGTTAACTATACATGCAAACAATCAGCAATAAAAATTAAATGATTAATTTGTATGATTTGTAAAATTTGTATCCCCCCCCCCCCCACACACACACACAATTTAATATTATTTTCTTTAAGTTTCAAGATGTAGAGAAATTTTTTTTGGAATTGACAATTGTGTCCTTCTTTAAAACCCGTGTCGTCGGGTTTTGAAGGTATATACTGCTCAAAAAGATAGCTGAAACAATAAAAAAACATTTTCAGCATTTCAATTTTTGTATACTTTATCAGTAAAAGTTTATTATCTTATATGCGTGAAAATTTTTCTTTATTTAAACGAATTGGCTTTCTCCAGAAAATCCAGGCGACGATCATTTATAATCATTAAATTTAAGCTTAAATGATATTTGACTATTTTAAGATTTTAACACTAAAAACTGCGTAAATTTTTAATTTTATAATGTCCCAATTTAAGTTTAGTGTTCTTAAGACATTATTAAACTTTCATTGTTTTTTTTTATAGTGTAAAAAGGTTAAATACATTTTTTAAGGTTCAATACAAGTGAGTAAACTATTTTTTGTTATAAAGACTCTATTTTTAAATTCATCACCAATTCATAAACTGTCGGTCTTCCAAATTCATGTAGTTACTAAAATTATTCTTTACTTTATTCTTTTAGTTATTTCTTACTAAAATATTTATAACTTTGCCTTTTTATTTAAGATATTTTTATTAGTAAATTGATTCAAAATATTATACCAAAAAAGTAAGCAAGGAATAAAAATCATGCCTAAGCTTATTCCTTTGCAAAAAATTATTTATTACTTGATAAGTATTAATTAACGGGAGTACTTGTATTCCCGTTATATTTTGATTTATGTCAACAAAAGTATTTAATTGTTTAGCTTAAAGTGTAATAATAAAAAGCTTATTTGCAAAACAAACTAAACACGGTCAATAAACATAAACTCGCTCATTTTATAACAAAGATGGCGCACGGTGCTGGCACCGAGATTCCACTAAGTAAAAGAAATAAAAATACCAAAATTGGCCCTTATAACGTTGGAAAATCTATAGGTAAAGGAAATTTTGCAGTGGTTAAGCTTGCTGAACATACTAGTGCTAAAGTAAAGGTAATTTTTTATAAGTTGTTCATAAATTATTATTACGATTTGAGGAGTTATTATTGTAAGTTTTTAGTATAGTATTATATTGCTACGTAAAAATTTGAATTCAAAATAAAAATTATAAAAAAATTATTATATTTTTTATATAATTTTTTAATTTGCATAATATGATCAAATAAAGATTACATATAATAATGCATTATATGCAGTGAAAGTATATGAAAGCAAACTGTTTAAGATATCTCTTTTAGTATCACTTTTGTATGATATTGAAAATTTTAATATCATACAAAATATCTATATCAACTGTATAATAAGAAAATAAACTCAATAGTATGATAATTTCTTATCATACAATTAAATATTGTAAATTTTTTAATAAACAATTATCAAAAAAATTAGATATGACAACCATTATACAAGATTTTTTTTGTTAACATAATTGTATAGAATTTTTAAAAACAAAAAATAAGTGGTCTTTAGAATTTAAGTGGATTTGAAGTTGTTCCATTTTTTATGGTCGTACTCTTTTTTAATTAAAAATTGGCCGTGTAATGGCACTGAATAAAATAATAAAACATCAAATAATTTGTATTATTATTATAACTATATGTTATTGTTATTATTATATATATATCTATTTTTATTATTATAACTATATGTGTCTATAATATGTTTTATATCATCAAAGAGGTTTTTACTTTATACTAGTTCTTATAACTATTTTTAAACAACCGTGGAAATTAGATCTTTTTTCCAGAATATATAATTGATTGATTGATTGACCAAAAGATGTCTGCATTGCTAATTCAAAAAAACTTAATATACCAAATCAAGAGCAAAAATTGAAATAAAAAATTAGCGAAGGAAAAAAAAACTTGGTTTAAATAGAGGTAAGGCTATATTTGTCTTTTTTAAATAAATTGTTTTAAAATATTTTTTAATAAAGCAACCTGGAAGTTTTAAAACGCTGAGAACTAAGCAATTATGTATGAATAAGAAATCTAATAGAATGGTTCTCCATTCCATTATATTTTTTATACTTTTTTAAATATTATTAAAAAAAGGATAAGAAATATAATGAAATAGGGATTTATCATCCTTTTTTAAATAACATTAAAAAAAGGAAAAAAATTCCCCCATCCCCATTTCTTATTCTGTGTTTTGGTACTTAGGAATTATTATCTGCAAAAACTTCATAAAAATAAAAATGTTCCCATAGTAAATTTTTTTTATCAATAGTAGTCTCAAGACATAAATAATAAGTGAACCTATATAAAGCTTAGTAATTTCTATATATGTTTAGAAAAAGGCTGAGTCAAAAGAACGGATGCCAAAAAGCTTTAAGGTGCTTGATTAACCATAAAAAATGATATAAGAGAGTGAAGTTTATAAAAATTACATTTTTTTTTTCATCAAATGTCAAATATTTTTTTTTACACAATGGAAGCTTACACAATGGAAAGATTGTTACACAATGGAAGCTAGTGATAAGGTTCATTTAGAAACTTGCTGATATGTAATACCAAGAGGTTTTATTTTCTGGTTTTGTCTAGTTGTATATGTCACATTAACTCACAAAGAGAATATGCTCTAATCCGGGAGGAGATGTACTAATTTGAGAGGAAATGCAATAAGAGGACATTTTCAAAGAGGACATTTTGTCACTAGTTTTATTTTGTGATAAAATTCACTTTGTATTTCCGTTAACGTGTTTATAAAGAAAAAATGTTTTAAGCTTTAATTTTCAATTTTTATTGTTATTTATTATTGATATTTTTTAAATTAGTTTTTTTTATCATTATTACTTATTATTTTATAACAATATTTTTTAAACCATTTTTAATAATATAATAACAATAAATTTTATAGTTTTTCTAGAATTTAAATTGGAAGCAAATTGTTTAAACATATAGTACAATGTTAAAAAGAAAGTTTTCAAAGTTTTAAACAATACTGATAACTAATATGTCTCTATTTGTTTAAGGTTGCAATAAAAATGATTGATAAAAGCCAGCTGGACAGTGATAATCTTATAAAAGTCAAGCGGGAAGTAAAGATTATGAAACTTGTAAATCATACAAATATTGTTCGATTGTATGAGGTAAAAGTTAAACAAGTTCTATAGTTTTTAAAATTTTAGTTTAATTTTTTCATTTTTATAAAGTTTTTATTTTGAAAAATATATCTTATATGATCAAATATTTTTTTAATTAAAAACTTATGTTTAAAAATCTTCTGAGATATAAAAAGTGTATTTGAGATTTTTATAGCTATTATCAAGACTATAAGGAAAAAAAAAAGGCAGTTGTACTTGTTCTATTACTTGCATTTTACTGTTTAATTATTACTACATGTTGTTTTTGCAAAAAAGTTTATGGTTTGGTCTATTACTCTTGTTTTTTTATCAAACATGGTTATAAAAATCAAGCTTGTTATACTTTATTATATATAATTAGCTTATTTTGATAGAAATTCATTAATGAGGATACAACAAAAAATTTCCATGTAGCAATTTTTCTGTTTCAATGAAAAAATAATCAACATACCTGTCACATAAACAAAGTAAACTACAATAAATTCTTCACAAAAAAAACTTATATAAGTGAAATTCTATATGTGAGGATGTTAATAATGGGTTTAGGTAAGTCTTCCTTTCAATTTTTAAATAATTCAATGTGTATAATTATATGAACTAAAACAATGTAAAAATTATAAAAAGTACTAAAAGCAATTTTTGTTATTTATATAAAAAGCAATTTGAACTCATTCCACTCAAAATACTTATAACATTATATGAATTTTTACTTGTGGTTCCCTAATTTAAAATAACCTGCTGTTAAGAAGCAGTCTGTGCAATTTTCACTAATTATATCCACTCGGATAAGCAGATATGTTATGTTAAAGTTAGATGTAGTTCTTAGCAAACAGAAATCTACTAAAACAGTTGTGTCATATAAAACAGTTGTGTCATATCCATATATAATAATATTTTATATATAATAAATATTATATGTTATAATAGATATTATACTATTTAAATACCAATTTTTCCTGATTGTTAAATTGTGGTGTAACTTTAGCAAACAGGTATCTACTAAAAAGGGACTTATCATTTTTTTTTTTTTAATTTGAAAAATTACACGGAGGTATAATAATATAAAATATATATTTAAAAATATCAACTTTATATAAAAAATGGGATTTTTTAATATACAGCTCCGTAAAAATGATATAAAAAATGGGATTTTTTTTTTGTATCCTAGATATATTGTGAGATCTAGTTAATATTTTTAGCAGATGAAACCTCAAAATTGACCAAAAAACATGTATATAATACTTTTAAAATATTTTACATCTGTTTCCTTATAGTGTCATTTAGGTTATAGAATTGTCATATGATCATGATCACAAGAGTGTTTTGTAGAATTGTCGTATTATCATGATCACAAGAGTATTTTGTAGAATTGTTGTATTATCATGATCACAAGAGTATTTTGTAGAATTGTTGTATTATCATGATCACAAGAGTATTTGTAGAATTGTTGTATTATCATGATCACAAGAGTATTTGTAGAATTGTTGTATTATCATGATCAAAAGATTATTTTGTAGAATTGTTGTATTATCATGATCACAAGAGTATTTTGTAGAATTGTTGTATTATCATGATCAAAAGATTATTTTGTAGAATTGTTGTATTATCATGATCACAAGAGTATTTTGTAGAATTGTTGTATTATCATGATCACAAGAGTATTTTGTAGAATTGTTGTATTATCATGATCACAAGAGTATTTTGTAGAATTGTTGTATTATCATGATCACAAGAGTATTTTGTAGAATTGTTGTATTATCATGATCACAAGAGTATTTTGTAGAATTGTTGTATTATCATGATCACAATAGTATTTTGTAGAATTGTCGTATTATCATGATCACAAGAGTATTTTGTAGAATTGTCGTATTATCATGATCACAAGAGTATTTTGTAGAATTGTCGTATTATCATGATCACAAGAGTATTTTGTAGAATTGTCGTATTATCATGATCACAAGAGTATTTTTAACGTAATAAAGTTTGAAACACTAAGCTTATAAAATTATTTCAAAAACATGTGTTGTCACCATGTATAATTATCTGAGAAAAATGTATGACCGACTTTTAAGTTTGTTTTACTGTATTATTTTAGTGTCTGTAATGCTTTAGTGTCTGTATTGATTTGGTGTCTGTACTGTATTGTTTTGGTATCTTTGGTGTATTGTAAGTTATGGTATGATTTCAGGAGAATTTTTTGGTTAAAAAAAGCTTCAATAATTTTGCCAAAAACATATATTGATTTCCCACGTCACAAATAGATTCTTTTATGTACTGTATTAAGCTTTTTAATTAAAACTACAAAACAAAATGAAACTTTTTATTTTAAGTATTATAAATTTCCACATGATCTATGACCACTTATTAAACTGCTCGTTTTGATTGGTTAAACCTGTTTTGATTTGTTTGTCAAAGTATTAAACAAAAAGTTATGATTAATCAATTATGCTCACAAATCTCACAGCAGAGTTTAACCTAAACTATATAAAATGTTTGTAGTTAAGTACATATTGATCTAATGTAGTACATATCGATCTAATGATTTAATAGTACATATAGATCTAATGAATCATACTTAAAACATATTCAATTGTTTAAAAATCTAAACTATAAACCAATAGTTAATCTTTTCCCTCTGAATTGCCTTTTGTTTGTAAAACACCAACACATTTTTCTTTGTAGAATCTAAAGAGTTGTTTGTCATTGTTAAACATTAAATAGAAAGAAAAGAGGAAAAGGAATAGTTTATAAAACAGAAAAAACTTATTTAACATAAATTCATAAATACAAAAACTTACTGATCTGGAAAAACCTACTGAGTGGATTCCAGAAATACAGGTTTACAAACTGATACATAACTAAAAACTGATAAAACAGTGGTGGTTAATTTGAAGCTGTAAAACTATATTAAGAATTAAGATCATAAATCTTTAATTATTTAATAGTCCAGATATAATGTAGATTATAATCTAGAATTAACAGACTAAAAACTTAGTTGATTGTTTTGTGAATATTAAAGAAACAAAAAAAAAAAGGAAAAATATAGCAAAAATTAGATATGTTAACCAAAAAGTAGATTTGTTTAAATTTTTAGTTCTTTTAATTCAATTTCATTTTATATAAAAATTATCTTTTTATATTAAAGTATATTCAAAAATATTTCCAATTCCAATATTTAAAAATTGTTATTAAAATTATAACTTGAGTGTAGCAGTTGTTTAGGATACTAATGTTTTCATTATCACCAACTAAACAAAAAACAAATAGTTATCGCAATCTTTACTTATACCTAATCTATTTAAATTATCTAGATTTAATATAAGTGTAATATTTTCATTTAAAATAAACAAGCGCATATAATATATGACACTTATACAGTAGCGGCATAAAGTCATGACCACAGTTGAAAAACAAGAAAAAATTTTTCATTTTTAGCACAATATAAAATAAAACAGCACCACATTGAAATAAAAATGACTCTGCATTGTCAGTAATAAGCGCCACTAATAAAACATAAGAAATTCTGACTAAAAGACTAGTATTTTGTATGCCCTCCATGGGCATCAAGCACGACTTGTACAAGTCTTGGCATAGACTGTACCAGCTTTTGGATGGTTTCAACAGGGATTGCTAGCCATGCAGCTTGCAAATGTTGCCACAAATCATCCAGATTGGTGGGTTTGGTTTTCTGTACTTTTCTGAAGCGCTCCTCCCACAAATTTTCAATGGGGTTCAGGTCAGGACTTTGTGGAGGCCATTCAATAGCATTGGTACGAGCACGTTTGAGATATTCCATTTCTTTCTTAGCTTTGTGGCAAGGAGCATTGTCCTGTTAAAAGAAAAATGGTTTGTTTTTACCAATTAGTTTGTTTGCTGATGGTTTCATTTGTATTTTTAATATTTCCAAATATTTATCTTGGTTTACCGTGCCCGTACAACGATATAAATGACCTACACCTGACATGCAACCCCATACCATAAGAAAGCCTCCTCCATGCTTTATTGTGGGAGCTGCACACAGAGGACTAAATCGTTCACCAACTCTTCTCTTCACATAAGCTCTTTTAGCTCCACAGAAAACAGTAAAGATACTTTCATCACTCCATAGCACTTTATTCCATTGTGCAACAGTCCAGGTTTTGTGTATCTTCGCGAATGCTCTTCTTTTCGCGATGTTATCAGGTCGTAATAAAGGCTTTTTTGCAGCAATTCTCCCATTCAAACCAGCTTGCTGCAAGCGTTTTCTAACTGTCCTTGCTGCCAGATGAACTTCATGGCTTTTCCCCATGTATCTTGCAAGATCTGAAGCCGTGGCGAAGCAATTGGACAAACTTGCCCGAATCAAAAGTCAATCCTGCTTTACCATAGTTTTACAAGGTCATCCAAGTCTGCCATTGTACCAGTGTCTTTCTCTTTTCTGGAGGTTCTGGTAACAGTTGACAGTCCAATTTTCATTTGCTCAGCAATATCTCTGTAAGAAATTCCTTGTTTAATCATAAAAATGATCTTCAGTCGTTGCCCAGTTGATAGCTTCTGATACATGGCATACACAATGTTCTGCAAAATTGCAATACAAAAATAATAAAATATTTGTTTAATAAAAGAAAACATGATTTCAATCATTATTTAACAACAACAAATGTTTAGAAACACAATAAAATTTAAAAAATTCCAAAAAATTGTTAATTATAGCTAATTAAGATTAATTAATCCTAATTAGCACTGCTAATTATAATTAAATCTAATGAATTTATTCTCGATATTAGCTCCACGTTTCGGTACGATATGTAGTTGAGTGATAATACATTAATTTCAAGTATCTACTAAAACAATGCTAGAAAAATCTTGAACTTACCAAACTGATATCAACAATTTCTGATCAAATACCCTACAGAGCAGTAATTAACCAAAATTACAGTAAGTATAATAACAAAAATAATGATATTTGGTTGCTAATAACGCGCCACATCGGTAACTAGATATATAGTTAATAAAGTTTCCGAATAAAAATCGCTACAAAAATAAGTTATTATTGCCTAGTACATTATTAGAGAGATCAAAGTATGTGTGTGGTCATGATTTTGTGCCACCACTGTATACAAACTGAAAAATCTGTAACAAAAAGCAACTTCTCAACAAAACAGCTACTCAAAAAATAATTTTTAATTTTCAACTCATTAACTAACTCAGTGCATAACATAAAAGCAAAAAGGTTGCATACAAGCCAACATTATCTTTAATGAGTTTACTCATTCTTTCGTTAAAATAAAAAATCAATGATAAAACACAAAAAACTGAATAAAGAGTGTTATTTAAAATCTTTTTAACATTTGTTTACCAAGGAAAGTCTAATCTCGTGTGACAATCATTCCGCAAATTCTCATCTTTTTACAGCAACTGTTTTTTTATACTCAAATATCTGTGCTTTGGATGTCTTGTTATGAAGTTTTTTCCCTCAAACATCTGTGCTTTGAATCTCTTGTCATTAAGTTTTCCTGACTCATACAATTTACAGTTTTTCAAGACTTCTCTTCTTTATTTTCTGTTAGTTCTTAACTTAATAAGTGGCTTGTAGCTTGTAGCCTTGTTGAGAATTAATTTGTTGGGAAAAAAATTTAACCTTGTGCAAATACCAAATGAGCTGGTTATGCAGCTGGTTGTGTGTAATCATACAAATTATGTAGCTTAGAATTATTCTTTTAGCAGAATAATTCTAAGCTACATAATTTTATGTAGCTTAGAATAATAAATTTTATACAGACATTTATATAGACTGGTGTAAGAATTTTAGAAAATGCAATGTTTTTTGCTTTAAATGTAATATTTGGTACCTATATTTATACTGTAAAAAATGGACAAAAGTATATTGATTAAGGTGATACACTTTGGTTGTTAAAATGCCTTTATTATTTAATTTATTTTATTTCTTTATTACTCAATTTACATGTAGTATTTATATATATATACTCAATTTATACGTAATATTTATAAGAAATAACAAAATCCTAAACGCAGGGTGATGTTGAATTTACATAAAATGACCTATATAAAGTTTGCTACATTTTTTTGTTAAAAAGAAAGAACCTACTTAACTGCTGAGGACAAATGAATTTAAAATTTTTTACCTTTCAAAAAGTTTATAATTTTACTAGCTAATAATGCTAGTGGCCACAATCCAGCAATAATTTCTTATAATAAACTTTTATTAATACTAAATATATTTACATTATTGGGTGGTAGCTTATATATCAACCTAAATCTGCAAAAGCAAGTTTATATACATTTTTTAAAATATATAATATGTAAGTGTTTGTATATTGTCATTAAGGTTATGGAAACAGACAGATATCTTTATCTTGTGACAGAGTATGCTTCTAAAGGAGAAATATTTGGTTAGTTTTTATTATATAACTTTTATATTTGTTTATTTATTATGTATAATAATAGAAACTTTATAAATATACATTCAACCAATAAAAAAATCTTCCCTGTTTTTTTTTTTGTATACACTGTTACATTTATTCAAGTCTAACAAAGAGAATACATACATAACAGTAATACATAAATTCAAATGGAACAATAGTGTTAGTAGTAGTAGTGGCCCTTCGAGCGTGTTTGACACGAAACCCTTGGCGGCCATTGCAAACAAGGTAGTGGCAAGAAAGAGTCGCTGTACTTTTATTATAAGAAAACATAGACAAAAGTGTATGCAAATACCTTACTTATGTAAACTTAAAGTTATGTAATGTTAAAACATATTAAAATATGTATCAAGTTTTACAGTTTGACTTACACTTGAAAACTGCATTGTGGCAACATCTGCTTAATTTTGATATATAGCATTTATTTCCGTTAAAAAAATTATTATTTAGTTTTAAAAATTTTTGTATATCAACGTGCCAGCGAGGCCAAGCGGATAGCGCGCAGAGATAGAGCTTCTGAACAAAAAAGCTGTGTTTCGAGTCTTACAATTGGTGACTTATTTTTTTAATTTTTTCAATTATTTTAAAATACAAAACATTTTTGAAGTTTTAAAATACAAAACATTTCTGAAACTTAATAAAGAAAAAACTTAAGACAGTTCTGCTACTCCAGAAGATGCTGCTGTGGAGGCAAAAAAAAAAAAAAAAAAAAACAGGTAGAAAAAACTTTAAAAGTTTCTTTTGACAATTAAAAGTTTTTTTTGGTACATTTATTTTTTTCCTATAAATATATGCTGCAGCCATTTTTTCAAAACGCCTTAATATGCTTATTTAGGCATTTTGAGAAAATGCAATTAAAAGAAAATTATTAGGAGAAACTCTCTGGAAAATGTTTTTTGAAACTAATAATTTTTATGAATTTTTTCAGAACTCTTCGAAAATATGTATTCAATAACGTTTGTAGACATCTAAACTACCTTATTTTGTAAAAAAGTCAAAATTGATTTTTTTTATCTTAAGGTGTTTTGAAAAACGGCTGCAGTATGGATGATACAATGAATATGTTGAAATGAGATAATTAGACACAAAATTTAAAAGCTCTTAACAAAAGCCACTAAACCAAAAAAATTAAAAGTAATTGCAATTCAGCACACTTTTGTTGTTTTAAGCATAGTACTATATAGATATTGGTGTTTGCAAAGAAATATTATATAAATCGTTTTTTAATATAAAACTAACTTTGTTGTAAAGGCAGGTTAGGCGCTCAACCATCCCTATGTAAACAATATATATAAACAAATATATTATTTGTTTATGTACATTGTTTATAAAATTTAAAAAATCCACTTATATAACGTTTTATTCAGGATTGTATGTAATATAAGTAAACTTTTCTAATAATTACAAGTCTTTTTTGCTCAAGCTGTTTTGTTTTAATTTTTTTGTATCTATGTTATTATATTTTAAAAAATTGACAAGATTGAAAAAACACGAAACATATTGTCTCATCCAAGTGGGAAATTTGAAACTTCAATTTTAGATTTGTTCCTCTCTCGAGGAACAAATCTAATATTCTTCTTAGACTTTTAAACCCCCCAAAACAACACTGATGACAGCGCACTTAACCACTGAGCTATCAATGAAATGCATTTAGCAAAAAAGCAAACCTAATTATAAGTCTCTTATAAGCTCTATGTATAAGCTCTTATAAGCTCTGCGGAAAAGGGGTGCATGTTAATTTTTTTGTTCTTAAAGTTTTTTTTCAGAACAAAATTATTTTACTAAAAAATATTGAAGTAAATAAGGAATAGGTATAGAATAATTGGTGTGGAATAGATATGTATAGAAATGGTATGTTTAGTAAAGACCCAGTTTTACAAATCCCGAAAGCTGGGATATATAAGTAAAAAGTTTTAAAAAGTTCGGTTTGAAATAGACTTACAAAGACCTGAATTTTTATGGGTCCGATCTCAGCTAATATATATATATATATATATATATATATATATATATATATATATATATATATATATATATATATATATATATATATATATATATATATATATATATATATATATATATATATATATAGTATATTTATTCCTGGTTCAACTTTCCTTGAATATTTTACTCTAGAAAGTACTCTAATTCCTTTTTTATTACATTTTTCTTTTTTTTTAGTTTTCTTTTAAAACAAGACGTATTTTTATTGTTTAATGTGAATACGAAGTTCCTTTATAGTAAAATCAGGTTGAATTGTAATGGTGTCATTATTTAAATTATTGTGCAGTTGTTTCTGACCACAATCAAAGTATTTTATGTCAAAAACAAAGCAGTATTTCACTTACACTGCACTTAATGCTATTTAACTTTTACTTTATTGATTCCGCACTCAAAGACAACTGCGCAATGCAATCCATCACTAAATTAAAGGTTTCATCAAACTTGTCTAGTAAGCAAAGTTAATAAAATTAATTTGCAATCTCTCTACATGCAATGTTATCAAAAAAAGAAAAAAAAAAAAAAAAAAACCTAATAACTTTATATATTTTTTGACGCTTCTAATACAAATAAACAAAATAATAAATTTATGATTTAATCTTTTTATCAGTAAAAACTTTTTCACTAAAATAGGTCACCTTTTCTTAAACTTAGTTGGCATAGAGAAACAAACTGAAATACTTATGTGACTGTAGAGGTATAATTGTATCAACTTATTCAAAACCCAAACATCAAATTAACATTTAAAATGATAAAAAAAGTTAAATATTATGAAGAAATTTATTTAATAAAAAACCTTAATAAAAAAAAAAGTGGCACAAACATGCAATAACAAATTCATTCTTTTGAGTTCTGAAACTCTGACCACAAACAAGACAAAATTATTCCTATAAAATGAATTTACTCCTCAGAACACAAAATACAATTTTTCTGTTCAACAGATTGAAGTTTCTTATCAGCTGTAAAGCATTTTATAATGAGTCGCAGCTTTTGTTCCTAATTTCTATTAAAACTTGATTAAACTCTTTATTTACACAGTTGAGCAAATACTCTTCTTTCTCTTCACTTATCAATCTTATAGTTATGTTGTTTAGCAAAAAGTGGCACATTAAAAATAAACTCGTGCATTTTTCAAGTGGTATTTCCCTTTGAAAAGCAAGCGTACAACTTAAAAGCAAATAATTTTATAACTAAAAAGCTCACTTATTTTAGCATCAGAAAAAATTTTTTATATAAAAATAATGGTTGCATTTAATAAAAACACTAAATACCAGTTCTTTTGGAATCATTTACATACATATATTACATTAATATACATACATTATACATACATAGAATACATATTTAAACTCCTAGTCACTACATCATCTATAACATTACAAAGGTTTCTTAAGACTGTTTTGAAATAGTTACCTTTAAATACATTTCCACGGTAAACTTGTGGCTCAACATCCATATATTCTCAAAGGCCTGAAAAAGAACCCTTTAATGGGACTTAGTTTACTCTATCTGGGAATTAGTTTACTCTATCTGCAATTGATTATAGTCCACATTTAAAAATTCATATTAAAAAATTGCGCTCTTGTAAAAGTAATTTTTTCAGAAATAAATATTAGTACTTCCAACCTCAAACACAAATATTACACTCACAGTACTTCTGCTGTATTAAAATATTTAACACTTTTACTTGTTCTCGCTGTTAGATAAAGATAACCAGCCTGACAATATAAAGTATTATATTTCTTTAACAATAACTTATACATCTTTAACACTATTCCTAACATAATATGGAAAACAGGAGGCACTACATATTTTTTAGTTATTATAAAAAACAGTTATTTTAAAAAAATCGCAGGATTAATAATAAAACTGGCCTATAGTTCTTAAGTTTTCACCATGTCTATTATCACAAAAGTTTTAAATGTGATCCCTATTCAAGGTATTGTTCTATTTATGTTATTTGAACTAGCATGTGTGTAAGTCAAAAAAGCATGGCTTCTGAAAGGTATGTATTCAACTAGATTTGTAGAACTAGGAAAGCTAGCAGATAAACATTGGTGTGCTAGAACATCATTGAAGAAATAAAAATCTCAACCTAAGAAAGACTTGAAATTTTTGCCTTTTTTTAAAACTTTAAAAATTTAAAACTTGAAGACTGAATTCTATTAATGTTGTTGACATCAAGGCCAAGAATAAAGCAACAACTTCACAACAATCTGAACCCTGGCATATACATAATAAGTGAATATTTTAGAAAATATAGGAAAGCATGTATATAAAGCATGTAGGGAATTTTAATATATTTTATGAAGAAATAATTGATTTTTTGATAAACTTGTCATTTTATCTCTAATTTTACATTGTGTAAAACATCCATGCACTAATAGTGTTATAAACTGCAACTGTACTAAGAAAAACACATGCACTTTAAATAATGTCTATAAAAAATGTTGTATAAAAAGTCACTATAACAATAGCTAATCCCAGTCCTAATAAAAAAATAGCTAATCCCAGTTCTAATAAAAAATCTTGTATTGGTATTAGTGAAAATCCATTTAAACACTTAAAACATAATTAAAAAGCAATACAGAACTAAAGAAATCTGGAAACAAAGCTGTAGGTAACATGCCTATTATCAAGTCGAACATAATTAAAAGATGCCAATTGTACAGTTCCTTTCGTGTAAATATTTAGTCATGGCTTTTGGTCATGATTCACCTTTTAACAAAAGTATTTTTATTTACGCATGTAGGCATAGGAACAATTTTCTGCTTTTATACTTTAATACTGATGATTAGCATATCTCAGATCATCTTGATGTCATATACTGTTGCAATACTAAATTTGTATTTTTATGTCATTTAAATTTTGCAAAAAAATATCAATTACTCTTAAGCAGACAAGAAATTTTATTTATCATATATATATATATATATATATATATATATATATATATATATATATAT